TGGAAAATATAATCTTCTTTTGGCTTCAAAATGTCTTTAGTCTTTACCTGTGACTTTTTTAATAAATTTGAGCCTGATTCAAAACGCAATTTAAAAAATCTTAACTTGCAATAATGCATCAGTAAATAAAGTGTTTCGGCTTATACAATTTTTGAACTTCTATCTCTTCTAAGCCTTGATGTTTTTTTTGTTTTTTTTTAAAATTATTTCTCAATGATGTAGTCCATATTTTACCCCAAAAGAGCGTTCTTCCATCCCTAACTAAAGCTATAATATTTTTTTTCAAAATTCGCTGGGGCAAAAACAGCGTTTTCCCTCCCTTTTCCCTTTCATGCCCTGGCTGGTGTCGCGCGTTCTTGAATACAGGGCAAAACGCGCAGTTTTTGCCCCTTGACAGGCGGCGATTTTTCCCCACACGCTGGCTCAGCGCGAGTCGTGTTTTTTCCACGTTCGCATGACACACTATGTGCGACAAAAATTGCTTATCGCGTGAAAAGCAGGCTAAAGTCGGTTGGCGTGTTCTGCGACATGCAGCGTTTTTTGTGCGTGAAATATGACGACGGGCGAGAGAGATGCAAACGAGGATCCAGCATCAGGTGATGAATGAAGAGAGGACAGACACCCGCGTTTTTGTGCCTGTTCAAGGGTCTAACTGGCCCCCTTATATAGGCTGCGCGTGCATTGACAGCGATTTGATAAATGGTCAGTATAATGTCATTATCGTTCTAATCGCATCCCTTTCTGGCGCAGGAAAAAAATGGATGAAATCAAAAGAGATGAGCGTCAACCCTCAAAGACTCCCTACAAAATTCCCAACAAATTCCTTCTACAAGATGGGAAAATTTCTTTTAGCATAAAATAATAAAAATAAATCAAGTGAGTGAATAATTTGAAGAATTTTAAATTTTTAATCAATTATAAGAAAATCTAGGCTTTAATAAAAAAATTAATATGGTCGTAAAAAATTTAACTGATTTATTAAAGAAAACATTAATAATTTTTTGAAGTAAATTCTGTTTTAGTTATTTATTTTTAATTTAAAATATTATACAAAATTATAACCAAGTGGAATTTCATGAAAATAAAAACGTTAACTGACTCCACATGTTAATCTGCAAATTTCTGGTACTTACAATTTAAACTTTATTGTATAACTTGCTGCCAGGTTATATCTTTATAGTTGCATTAGTGTTCCAATGAGATTTTACTATAGTTGTGAGTTGTGTAATTGCATTTTGAATTAAACGGTAGCCACGAGATTAAAGGTGACAAGGGGGAAATTCAATTGAGCAAATTGCTACTGGTCAGTGTCGTGCAATTTCCCTTCGAGCAGGGAATCAAAATGCAGCCTCAGCGAAATTGACTGTTCCACATTCGGAATGCGCGCATTAATCCCCCTCATCAAGTCAAAGTCTCCCGATTGTCTGCCTTTCAGAGAGGGGAGCAAGGCGTGTGCAATTTCCAAATTGCACAGGGGCCTTTTGTTTGAAATAAAGACTGCGAGCTGCAAATGATGCGTCTCCTGTTATTCGAATGAATGGTGGCTAAATTAAAGGCGACGCCCGAAGAATGCGCCCATTTGCAGGAATTAAACTCGAAAAAAATGCAGACCCTTAATATAAAGCGAAGCAAAAATATAATTTTCCAGATTTTCCCCAAAGTCTAACTAATAAAATTTTTATTTTAATAATTTTTGAAATGCTTTTTTGCCACAATTATTTTTGCTCGGAAAAGTTTTGTTTTTGTCGATAGAAGTGAAATATTGAAATGTGTATGCGACACCGGTTAGTTTTGCAACTGGCGGTGTCCATTTGACTGCCGCACAGGAGAGATTGAATTATGGGGTGGCTCGGGCACCGTCCTATACCATTTCCGCTCCGCCGTCCCCATATCATATGTTCGGCCCAACCCTTTTATTTTATAGCGCGTGTATCAAACGGGCGACTTTTATATGGACGGTGTCCCGTTTGAATTTATGGCCACGGCCGAAAAATGTGAAAATATTCGCTCTCCACGTGCAATAACCGTTCCTTTTTGCATTTTTATACACACACGCTCCCTTTTATTTCCTCTGGCATTTAAATTGAATATTTAATGCAAATGCGCGCGCGTGCGGATCGGTTTGCAGCGCATAGAAAATTATACGGCGGCACTATAATAGTTTTCATTTACGTGTCCATGCTGTCCACTGTGTTTGAACTTGTGCAGCCGAGTCATAAATTCAATTTCTCTGGCAATTTCGGATTTTTCAAATTGCAGCATGTGAATTAATTAGACTGCCATTTTGAATTAATTTATTTTAATTTGTCCCTCTGCACGAAAATTCATCACTCGGCTCAAATTGACGAATTCAATTGCACCATCTGTTTGTTCCTTTATTATCCCAGATTAAATGTTATTTTTCACAGGCTTTTCCAAAAAAATTCGCCCTATTGGTGATACGTATAGGGAGGGGGTGATTATTTATTGATGCCCTTTCCGCTCTTCCGCGGATAAAATTTGGATTAGCGCCTCTCTTTCCGGGAGAGCAGCTAATTACGCAGACAAAAACGCACGCTTCAAAGGTCGGACAACCTGAATGGCAGCCGGCTGATGATTTATTCAGGCACTGTTTGATTAAAGATAATAGCAGGGAGCGGAGCGCACAGAGACGACGGCCGAGCTGCTTTCTCTAAATAATACACAAATCCTGCGCTCTGCATATCAAAGGGATCGTGAAATTTTGATGCTATCTTCCGAGGGAGGCGCAGTGCGTTGAAATTTTTATCAAAATACTCTGCATACACTCTTGACTCCAACTTTACTCAAGCTCGACGTTTTGCGATAATAATAAAAAAAAAATTATATGCTTGCAAGAATAACTTGAAAAGAAATAAACAAAAAGGAAGTTAATTTTTTTAAAGTGGAATTATAATATTTAAATAACACAAAAGATCGTAAAAGAGAGAAGATATTGAAACTGAATTAAATACTCTGAAAACTTTTATAAATGCAACATTGCCATGCAACATTTTTTGTAGCATGGTAGAAGTTTCGTCTCGGTTTAATGATTTTAGCCTCAAATGACACATTTTAGATGGCTAGGAGCTAATTTTGCTAAGCATTCGCTAAGTTTGCCAAGTTAGCTACCCTAGCGAATTTAGCAACGCTAATTTTGCTAAGCATTCGCTAAGTTTGCTAAGTTAGCTACCCTAGCAAATTTAGCAACGCTATTTTTGCTAAGAAAATCGCTAATTTTGCTAAGAATTCGCTAAGTTAGCTAAAATAGCAACCCTAGCGAATTTAGCAACGCTAATTTTGCTAAGCAGTCGCTAAGTTTGCTAAGTTAGCTACCCTAGCGAATTTAGCAACGCTAATTTTGCTAAGCATTCGCTAAGTTTGCTAAATTAGCAACCTTAGCGAATTAAGCAACGCTAATTTCGCTAAGTTAGCTAAATTAGCAACCCTAGCGAATTTAGCAACGCTAATTTTGCTAAGCATTCGCTAAGTTTGCTAAGTTAGCTACCCTAGCGAATTTAGCAACGCTAATTTTGCTAAGCATTCGCTAAGTTTGCTAAATTAGCAACCCTAGCGAATTTAGCGACGCTAATTTCGCTAAGCATTCGCTAAGTTTGCTAAGTTAGCTACCCTAGCGAATTTAGCAACGCTAATTTTGCTAAGCAGTCGCTAAGTTAGCTACACTAGCGAATTTAGCAACGCTAATTTTGCTAAGCCATCGCTTAGCTTGCTAGCTTAGCAAATTTAGCAACGCTAATCTCGCCATTTAAAATCAATTTGCATCTCCCTCAGTTTTTTTCTTAAGCTTAAATATATTTTTATTTTATTAAGACAGAATAGAATACTCTTTTGCTTTTCAATACAAACATATCAAGTTATAAAAAAAATTAATATCATATTTTGAAGCGTTCAATTTTAAATATGAGAAATTTGGTAGTTGGTTTTCATCAAAATTTGCAAAAAAAAGAGAATTTATTAAATCTGAAATCAAGAAATTAATTCATAATAAATTCCGTTATTTCATTGAATTTAAACATCGTTTATAGCAAACCAATCGATTTCTATTCCATTTCAAACTAGACAAGTTCATTCATTAGTGATGACTGATGAGACACGGAAAAACTACATCCTTGCCAATAAAGACTTGTGCTTTTTGCGACACTGTCTCTACCGCATAGAGACACTAAAGCACGACGAAAAAGGGTTTTCTTTTCACAAATGGGCATGCGGTCTGATCAGCTGATTTCCCAAGGGCCACATTTTTTCGTGTTAGGGTCACGATGAGGGCGAGTTTTATGTCCATTCCGATGTTACACTTCTTCTCAAGTGAGTACACTGGAGCGCAACCGTAGTGGAACCTCAATATCTTAATCTCCAAAGTACATCCCAGGCAGGGGAAATAAAAAGAGATTCTAGTCTATTTTAGAGCGAGTGATTTTTATTTTATTTCGAATTAAAAGTTTAGTCTTTTGAAAAATTCAATGCACTAAAATATTCGGCAAAATTGCGAACAAAGAAAATGAAAAAAAATCAATATATAGTGAATTATTTTAAATTAAATCATATATTAATACAATATTAAATTTAAAGTAAATAATTATTTCAAAAAATTTAACATTATTTATAAAAAAAAAACTAAAAAAAACTGACACTGCAAATATTATGTATTGTATTTGCAACGCAATTCAATCCAAACCAGATCCAAACTGAAGATTTTAGCTATTTTTATTTAGTTGCATTAATTTATAAAAAAATACAGTAATACAGTACGTATATTAAATAAATATTCATACTATAACATGTTGGTGATTTATCTTGTTGTTGCAAGAGAACGCGCCTTAATTAAACCGAGGATGGGAATGAATGAAAGATTTGGGTACTTGATAGAGGATTCTAAAAGTCAAGTTGGTGGCGTCATCTGCTCAATGGTAGCGTCAACTATCTGACCAGAGTTAAAACAGGCGGCAAGAAATTTCACGCGAACAGTGAAGGACGCAAAAAAGGGCAAAAACTACTTGGCAGGTGGGATTAGCACCTTTTCTTGTCAAATTTAAGCTTAATGTACGCGAATACGGCATTGGTAAAGTTTGCAACGTCATTCTCAACTTTCAACACACTATGTCAGGTTTTAAAGTGGAATTACATATATATACGTGAAAGTAAAAACTGGATTTCATTGATTAATATGACTGTCATATTAATTTATAAACTTTGAAAAAGTTGACACTCGAGGAGATGATCATGTAAATGAAGAAGTCGGGCTTTTCCTCGTTGTAAAAATTGTTTTTTTAAATCATTTTGTTTTTGAATAAAAACTACAACGATACAACGAGGAAAAGCCCGACTTCTTAATTTCCATAATTTATAAACCTTTGATATTTGATCAAAAGCGCATTTCACAAAAGTTCAGATTAACAAGTTTTAAATTTCAAATAAAATTAAATTATCAACACCACTTTGAAAATCTTTTATCAAGAATAAATTCCAATAAAAAGTCCTATGTAAAAAATCAAGCGTGACAGACGAGGTAAAAAAAGAAGTTGCTTGTTCCTGTTTTTATTCTCGCAGAAGGGCGTTGGTTGATCATGTCGATCGAGACTGGCTTTTTTCAAGGGCGACAAGCTCCTGTTCTAAACTTCTTACATTTTGTTCTTGCGATGCTTTTTGCAGTTTGCCGTGTAATTTTTATTTCCATTTATATTAATCAAGAGTGTGCGTCCGAAACAAACACTCCCTCTACTCGAGCACCCACCACGTCTCGCGACTCTCAATCTCTCCTCAAGAGCGCTGAAGCAAATAGAGTAATACGCAACTTTCACTTTTGCAGTGAAGCCAGAGAGTGTCGGCGGAGAAAGAAGAAGAGACTTGAACGGCCGGAGTCGGCGCATTTCTCGTGTCAATCAAAAGCACGTGCACCGCTTTCGAGGTCAGTGTCGAAAAACGGTGCATCGGACATGGAAACTCGGATTTTGGTTTTGGTCGCGGTGGCCGCTCTAGCTGGACAAATCAGTGCTCTACGTAAGTCTTTCAAACCTGTTTCTTTATAAAGATTTCTTTTAAGTTGAAGTTTCTCGAATTCGCCATGTAATGCAGAAGTATTCTACTCTCGCTTTTTCTCTTCTTTCTGGCGACCTGCCATAGTTCAAAAACGTCAAGTCATAGAGCTTTTTGTATACGCGCTATTTATTTCAAGGCAAGCTTATTGTCACTTTAATTTATTTACAAAGCCTTAAAATGTCATTGCCGTGGAGACCGTGGAAAATATTGACTACTAAAATATAGAAAACTGTGCCATCAATGATTTTTTTTTTATGTTATTCAACTCATTTCATTTGCATAATTCTGAAAATAATGAAGTAAACTGTGGTAAACGTGGGCTATAATTTAAATTTTAATAATATTTATTTTAATTTTTAGTACACCGTGTCTCTCTTTTCTTTTGACGTTGGGCCTTTTAGCAGACATCTGCTATTTTTGGCACATTTCTGCAAATTTAAATTTTTTTATACATTAAAGAGTAAAATAAATAATAGAAAAAAGGTTGTTGCTAGAGGGAGAATAATAATAATTGGTATTTTTTACATCTATAGATTTAATCAATATAGAAATTATAGTTATATTTTGTGACTTAAAACGGCTTGAGGTTGCGATTGCAGTGAATTGTTCACAAACTACTTTTAAAAGACCTTCATAAAGAATATTAAAATCCAGATCACCCTCATACTTTATAGAAAGCTTCTTTGCATCGCGGTTACCAGCAATTGTCCGCATTACACTATCCACCGCACCGTTAAATGACAGACTAAACAGTAAAATTATGGAAGAAGAACTTTAATTCCCGGTCATGCCTACAAGTTGGGTTGAATTTAAAAAAGCGAACAAGTTTTTTTTTCTGGTAAAAGCCACTGTACAAAGGAAATTTCGTATAAGTATTATTGCCGCAATTCTCATAATTTTTTTATTTTCATTCTCTTGAAAATATAATGCCACAAGAGTTTCTTTCCAGTGCCCGGCGCCGAGAAAACACTTTCACAGATCACGCACCGCTCGATCTCATCTGTGAATACGCAAATACCATACACGTTATTTTTGCGTTGAGTCGCTCGGGGAAAACCGCCGCGGATGTAACGTGTTTTGTCATCGTCGACTTTTGCTTGTGGATAAATTAATAGTTAATTTATTTCCTTTAGAAAGAGAGATGCGAAGTCGCAAACGCACGTGTGCCTCGCGCTTCCTGCTGAACAAAAGGTGCAGAGAGCAAAAAATAATAGCGTTTGTCTTCGGGCGACGCGCGGTTGTGAAAATTTTGACGCGCGCGCCGCGTGTATTACGAAACACACAAAAACAGTGTTATGTAAAGAAATCTGACGCAGACAAATTATGCGAATTAGATAATTTTTTATTAACGTCGGCCAAATTTTTGTAACCTGCCCTAGTTTCAAGTTTGAACAATTGCAATTTTAAAAATAAAAATATCCCGAAAAATGTTAAAGTTTGTTTTCTACAAATAATTCTTAAAAAGAGAGTGGATAGGTTGCATTAATTGTATGATTTAATTTAACTTCAAATAAATTTAATTTTGTTGGTGGTAATTAAAAACAACTAGTTTTATTTTCCACAAAAGTTAACGCATTTTGGTCGGAAAGTTTTTTTAATTAAATTTATATATTCAAAAATAAAGTATTGGAGAAGATTTTAAAATATATTTTTCATATATTGCTGTTTATTGATGACGAAAATGTATTTTATATTTACAGCAAATAATACCACTCGTACCAATAAAAGGCCACAGAGACAAAACAACAATGCGATTGATGCAAACAAAAAGCCTCAAACCGTCACTGACCTGTTCATCACCGGTTCATGCGTTGACAAACCATACACTTGTCCGCACCCACGGATCAAATTTTATCTTTACACCAGGTTTGTAACAACAAAACATTTTTAAGTTATTAATTTTAAAATTTAATTATTTTTTTTATAAAAAAAAAAAAATATTAATTGATTGAAATTGAAATTAATTTTCTAATTTCTTTTTTCAAAGGGAGACGCAAAACGATCCTGATCTAATAGACGTGAACGACCCTATGTCTTTGGTGGCCTCTCATTTCAACGTGAAGAACCCGACCAAGGTGGTCATCCACGGCTTCGGTGGCGGCAGGAATTTATCTCCCAGTCCGGACATGAGAGAAGGTGAGAAAAAAGTGAAATTGCTGTAGCGCGCGATGAGCAGTTTCGCGAGACTGGTTTTCGTGTTTTCATGATCAAGATCACGTCGGCGGCAGTGGAGAGTGAAAATGTTCACAATCGGCCGATTTTCATTCTAATTCTCCTTTTGTTTTCTCCGCGCAGCTTACTTTATTCGCGGCGAATACAATATCATCATTGTCGACTACGGCACGCTAGTTAAGGAGCCGTGTCTGAGTCAAATTGGCTGGGGGCCTCGTTTTTGCGCACGCTGCATCGCCCAATTGCTTTACTACCTGGACCAAGTCAGCGGGACCCCACCCGACTCGCTGCACCTCGTCGGCTACAGCGTCGGAGCCCACATTGCAGGACTTGCGGCCAACTACATTAATTTTGGAAAAATTGGACGAATTACAGGTATTTATTATTGAGATTTATTTTCAAAATAAGTAATTATATTTTTTATTTTAAGCAATGAAAAAAGTAAAATTTAAAATAATTTGTAAATTAATTTTAGGGCTGGATCCGTCCGTTGTGTTTTATCAAGGCTCAAATAGCTCCAGAGATTTAGACGCGTCTGATGCCCATTTTGTGGATATAATTCATACAGGCGCTGGAATTCTCGGCCAGTGGGGCCCGAATGGCCATGCTGATTTCTATGTCAACGGCGGCACCTCTCAGCCTGGTTGCGGAGGCACAATTTTTCGTACGTTTTTTTTTAACTTTATTGCTGGAGATATATTTCAATTTAATAATTTGTCTACAGAAACACTCTCATGTGATCACACCAAAGTCACCCCCTACTTCATAGAGTCCATAATTACGGAAAAGGGATTCTACGCGTCGCGGTGCGCCAATTTTTTTTCCTACTTATTCGGGCTGTGCGAATCCAAGGACAGCGACTACATTCTAATGGGTGAAGACTGTCCACACTCGTAAGTTGACATTAATAATTATGATAAAGAAATTAAAAAAAAAAATTGCAGAGCGCGCGGAGAGTATTACTTAACAACAAACGCAAATCCGCCGTTTGCTCAAGGGTTCCCGAACACGCAAAAAAATCGCGAGGCTGCCATAGAGAGAAGAAAACAGGCGGCGCAAAAGGCAGCGCAGAAAGCGGCTCAGAACCGGACTAAGAGAAGAGGAAGTCAACAGCGAGATCAAAATTATCGTCGTGTTGGAAAATGACTGCTAACTACTCATGCCATTATTATTTCTAATAAAAAATCTAATTTATTATAAAAAGAAATAAATTAATTTATAGCATTGGAAAATGAGAAGCTGGAGTTTGGTCTGGATATTATAAAAAGATGTATTTTATTGACCTTGAAAACAACAGCCACAGCAGGTCTTCAGTTCCGCCTCCTCCTGACGCGAGAGATACGCCAAGCATTTGGCTCCTCATACTTGTTGTACAGCGGCTCCAGTCTTTGGTTCTTCTTGAACTTGCTCAGCTTGGTCGGGTCAGAGAACTTGAAGAACGAGGGCGCATACTCGACAAGCCACTTTGGATCTATGGCAGTCACTTCGCGCATGTACTCCTTGGTCGTTTGCACCAGCTCGTGATAAATTACCCTAAAAATCAATGTTTAAGAAAACTGGTCAATTTGTTTTATAAAATAATATACCATTCTGGCTGCCTGTTAAATAAGGAGCTTGAGGGATGGATGAACACCACCTGACTGTCAACCAGTGTGCGATAACCTTCCTGCGGATCCTTTTTTGCTGCATTTCGGAAGAAGCCGGAGCAAATTGCTTTTTGCACATTGACAGTATTTTTTCCACATGACACAACGTCCAGTTTATGCCTGATATTAATAAGGGTTAGAATAATTTGTTTTTAAATTATTTATTTTAATATACCTGTCCATAATACCGAGAAGTTGTTTTCGGACGTCCTGCGCCCGTTTCAGAGTTCGGATCTGTACGAAGTTCTCATAACACCAGGCGTTGGAAAATTTGTTAGCTTTCCATGAGTTGTAAACTGACAAAAGAGTGATGTGGTCGCCTTCCGCCTGGTTGAATTTGGCCTTCTTTTGGTCAGCAAGGGCCTGCTTATCTTTTGGCCGGTAAAACACATTTTGAACGGACAGCATGGACACAATGGTCAAAACTTCATCGGAGCAGTTCAAGTGGACAGACATGATGAGCAACTTTGACAAGTTGGGCTCAAGAGGGAATTCAGCCATCTGCAAATAATTGACATAATTTAAATTCAGCAAAAGTCATTCCATTTTTTCAAAACTCACCCTTCTGCCCAGTCTGGTAAGAAGGCCTTCACTGTCCAGTGCCGAAAGAGAGTGAAGCTGCTCCAAGGCCATAATCATGGACTCAACAGGAGGTGCGTCCATGAAATCGAAATGGATCAAATCATTAATGCCCATCGTCTTCAACTGCAGCACTGTGGTGGCCAAATTTGTGCGCTGAATTTCAGGGACTGGAGTTGGCAACATTTCATCTCGATAGGCGCGTTCTGTGTAGAGACGATAGGTTTTTCCTGGGCCTGTTCGGCCAGCGCGACCTGCCCTCTGTTTAGCTTGGGCCTGATTTGATATAGAATTAAAATTTTGGTACGAACAATAACTGTAAGCTTACCTGTGAGATTGGCGTGACCACCAGTGAGTCCATTCCAGTCTTGGAACTGTAGACCTTCTGCTTGACAAAACCAGGATCAACGACATAGTAGATGCCGTCAATGGTTAAAGATGTTTCGGCAATGTTGGTGGCGATGACCACTTTTCGAGAGCCTGGAGGTGCAGGATCAAAGATTCTGGTTTGCATTTCTGATGGCAGTGCAGAATACACAGGGAGAATGATCAGCTCTGGCACGTCGGGTCCGAGTGACTTCATTCGTTCATACAAAATCTCACAGGCAGTGTCGATTTCTTCCTGACCAGTGAGGAAAAGAAGAATGTCTCCAGGTGGTTCTCTGAAAATTCATAAATTTAATCTCCGACTGAAATAAAAAATTATTTTTAAACAAACCTCAAATGAATTTGCATGACTGTGATGAGTGATGCATCTAAGTAATCAGTTTCCGGCTCTTTGGTGTAGAGAACCTCAACTGGGAAAGTTCTTCCCGGAATTGTGAAAATTGGCGCCTCAAAGAAGTACTGTGAGAATTTGACAGCGTCCAATGTTGCCGAAGTCACAATAAGCTTCAGCTCTGGCCTCTTTTGAACAGATTGCTTCAATAAGCCTGAAAGCAGATTTTAATTTATTTATGTACATAATGCAAATTTTAAGTCAACCAACCAAAAAGAACGTCGGTGTGGATGGTCCTCTCGTGAGCTTCATCCAACATGATCACCGAATAATTCTTCAAATCCATGTCCACTAAACACTCTCGCAGCAACATGCCGTCCGTCATGTACTTGATGACGGTCTCAGGACTTGTGCAGTCTTCAAAACGAATGGTGTAGCCCACTTCTTGGCCAAGACGACAACCAAATTCTTCAGACACTCTCTTTGCAACTGACATAGCAGCCACACGTCGAGGTTGAGTGCAGCCAATTTTTCCTGTGAATTTCAGACAATATTAATTATAATTATAAGATTCACTTTAAAAAATAAAAAAAATATTCTACACACCTCTGCTGGTAAATCCAGCTTCAGCCAAGTACTGTGTAATTTGCGTAGTTTTTCCAGAGCCGGTTTCACCAATGACAATAAGAATTTGGTTGTCGGTAACAGCCTAAAATTTTAATTAAAATGATCTGAAAATTTTTTACTTTTCTTGTTACATACTTTGATAAGGTCATCTTTAAGTTTGTAAATGGGCAAGCTCTGCCTTTGCTCCAAAATGGTCATGTTTGTCTTTTTACCAAAAGAGCTCTTCTTGCCTCCGATGACGTGTTTCTTCCACTCTGGCAAGTCCTGAGTCATCAAACCCATGCCTCGGGATGACACACTTTGGTTTTTATCCTCCTCTGAAATTAATGTTATCACATAAAATTTGGTCTATTTGGTTTTGATCGGGAGAATCTCACCTTCAGGTAATGGATCAGTCCAATTTTTGTTCGATCCCGTGGCCTGTGAGTCCATCTCCTGCTCTCTTTGCAGCATTTTTACTTCACGCCGCTCCTTGGCCAGGGCAGATTGCATCATTGCAGCTTGCGCCAAAGAGCCGTCAGGATTTTTCACAATTCGAACGGGACTAAGCTCATGAAGCATTCGTCCGTGGCCCTGCAGGAAGGGAGGTTCGTCTTCAACCAACTCTATTTCTATGTCAGCCTCCTCTTCATTTTCCTTGGGAAGCAAACCAGTCTCTTCGTCAAAGTCAGGAAGCTCTGACTTGTCTATGCAATTGGCAGAGAGCATCTGCTTGATTTCCCATCTTTCTGGGGAGGTCATCCTCTGCACTTTGCGAGCTCGTCCAGTTTCATTCGGCTTTGCCATCGACTGATCAACCAAAGAAGAGACTGGCAAATCAGGATTTCTATTCATAAGCTCCTCTCTAAGATTTTTAAAAATTAAAAACTTAATTAAAATTCTAGACTCGAAGAATAATTTTTGTACCCTTCTTTCCCTGGTTTCCAAACTATTGAGGGGTTGAGATCTTCACCAGTGTCTTGATCGACTTCTTTCATGGACAAGGAGACTTTCTGCCCAGTAAAAGTTAAAACTTTCACCTTTAAACCAAGTATGAAATTAATATCCATAGATCATTAAATTTAAAAATAAAATACATACTTTGACTTTCTGTCCCCGTTGCACTACTTCTGAAGTTTCTGTAACTCGACCTTCTTTCCTCAGTTGAGAAATATGCACTAAGCCTTCCCACCTCTTGCGAATTCCTTCCAATTGGACAAAGCAACCAAATGCCACAACATTAGTTACTTTTCCATTGTAAATCTGGAAAATTAATAAAATTAAATTAAAATCATCTGACAATTAATAATTTTTTTACTTACTTGTCCTGGAATAGGGACGTCAGGTAGCTCCTTTTCCTTAGAGCGACTCCTGCTCCTGTTTCTTCCAGCAAATTCCCTTTTGGGGCTTCGACTTCTAGGGCGTCTTCTGTCAGTTCTGTCCCTCCTCCTTTCATCACTTCTGCTCCGATGCCTTCTGTCTCTGCTTCGACTGCGACGTCGATCTCCGCTTCGTCTCCTGTCTCTACTGCGCCTCCTTTCCCTTTCTCTGCTTCTATTTCTATCCCTGTCTCTGCTTCTACTTCTGTTCCTGTCACGTTCCCTACTCCTACTCCTCTTTCTACTTGATTTTTTGTCTCGCCTTGAGTCATCTTCATCATCGGGAGCTTCTTCTTTAATTCTGGAGAAATTTTTTATTAATTGATACTTTAGCTAAAAACAAATATTGATTTGAATACTTAATAGAAGGAGCAAGAGCTGAAAGAGCGGCCATAGCATCAACAACCTCTTCATCTTTCTTCGGAGACTTTTCTTTACTTTTCTGATAATAATCAGGGTCATTCGGGATTGCCAGACAGGGGAAGTTGCTTGAAAGAAGATCTTTGTCCACCTTTTCATCCACAACTTCTTTTGCAATAGAAAATTTGGTCATGTGCTGAATGATGCGCAGCAAATTTCCTATCAACGAGTCCTAGAAGATGAAACAATTTTAGACGTAAAAAAAATTCATTGAGTTTAATCAAACATACAGAAAAATCTGCACCATTTTCAGCCAGGGCCTTTTTGAAAGCCTGGAATGTGGCATTTTTCTTAGCCAAAGCGATGATGAATTCGGCCAAGTCCTTGTCGCTCATGCCGAGATGGTTTTCGAGCTCTGTGCAGACCTTGGATATCAAGGAAAGCTGCTCTAACTTTTGCAGCTCGTCCATTGTATGTACCTAGAAAAATAAAAACTTAATAAAAATTGAGCGAGCAACAAATCCTTAAAATAATTGTACATAACGATTATTATTTGCTGCAAAAAATCCAGGGCATTCTATGCATGGATGTATGCATATTATTTTTTTGTTTCGTTTGAAGAGCAAGAAAAATGCTTAAATTTTGCTATAAAGTAGAAATAATGGGTTTGATTAAATCTTAAGCTACGCACCTGTAGATTAATTACTGCCTTCAGCTTATTAATAATCTATTTATTTAGATTTTCCAAACAGAGAAACTTAAACTTATCCAATGTTTCTCATGCTGTTGTAAACAAATCAGAAACAAATGAAGTTAATCCGAGTCACCAATCGCAACAAGGGAAAAAATGTTAAAATGCCGCGAAATTCAAATTCTGCGAGGATCAATGCGCCCGCACTGACAGAGGGAAATGATGCTATGCTAATATAAACATTAATTTTTTTTAAGAGGTTTTTCCGTGGATTTAATGAAACTGTGCGAAACCCCTCTGAAACTGCTTTACACTTTACAACACAAACAAAACACTACTCTACCTACACTAATTTGCGCTAATTTGAACAGAAAAAACACGCACACGCACACTAACAATTACCTGTGAAATAAATCAAATAAATATTAATGTTGAGAAGAGTGATTTTTTTTCGATTTTTTTTTTATTATTAAATTAAAAGCAATGCTTAATCCTTATTAACCAAAATCATTGTTTTTATTTACTGTTGTTTATAATGCAAAATAATTATGATATGTCAGTTAATGATATAATATGCATATCTGATATTTTTCGGTATTTTTATCAATCACATATGATTTTATTGAGTTACTTGGGAAAAATATATGCCGTATTCAGCAGACTGACCCTGTATGGCTTTACAAAATGTTTAATTTACAGGTTATCTTCTGATTTAATAGGCAACATGATTACAACTGATGGCTCCAAAGTCTCTCCATTCACATCCATTGGAACTAAAGGAGCATTGGGATTGACACAGCCAAACGGCAAAACAATTTTGCTGGCAAATCTTCTTATTTGCTTTGATTCTACCTTGGTTTTTACTACTTTTGATGTCCTGATTCTCCTTGGAATCTCCATTTGTTGCTGCTTCTTTCTCTCCTTTTGAATAATCTTGTATCTATTGGCAAGCTCCTTATTAGCAGCATTCAATTTTAAGTTGAGGACCTTAATTTTGGCGCTGCTCTGCACCTCAGCCAGCGTGAGTTGGAACTTCAATTCTTCGCTTGTATTGTGAGCTAGTGAAAGTTGGAATTCCAATTTTTCATTTGCAGCCCTTAATTCTGCTACGCCTGGCTCAGCTTGTTTAGCTTTATAAATCTTTGACATCTCGTCCAATTTCAGTCTCAATTTTTCATTTTGTTGTTGAACTGAATGGACTTTCCTTTCAGCTTCTTTCACTTTTCCTCTCAACTCTTTGATGTCAGAGCCGTCAATTTGTTTTTGTTCAGCCAAAATCATTTCTGCGAGTTTTCTTTCAGCCTCCTCAGCTCTCTTCTCAGCATCTTTTATTTCTTCTCTCATTGTCTTCAGCTTGGCCTCCCTGTTTTGGACTTGAATTTTGGCTAGCTTTCCTTCCGCTTTTAACAGAAGGTACTCAGCCTGCACAAATTCAGACACTTGGGTATGCTTTTCAGGAAAGACTACTTCTTCAGTCATCATTCCAAGAGCCCACTGCTGGAGTCGCTCATTCAAATCTCTGACGTTCTTCTTGAGTTGTTCGAGTGTTGTACATTCAGATTTTGTTAGAGGCTGTTTTGAGGCCATTTCAAGATATTCAATCTTTTTCTTGAAACTATCCATGGCTGCCACAAGAATATTCTTTTGGAGAGGTGAATCTAAATCGTTGATCATTGCTGGAAATTCTACTGGCTCCGTCTGCATTTCACCTTCTGTAATACTCATGTAATCTGGGCCAGCAGGTTTCTCAGTTAACTGCAAATGAAAAAGACATATATTAATATTTAACTTTTAAACCAGATTAAAACCCTAGCTATTATCATTTACTTTTGGTTTTGTAGGAACACGCTGCTTTGGGCTTGTATCTTTTGATTTCCTCCTGATTCGAATAGTGCTGAGATCATTTTCTGCCTTCATAATGTGTGGCACGGCATTTTCCTTTAGATAGCCAATTTTATCAACGCTGTAATCCGTCTTGTCAAAGTGGTCTGCGCAGACATGCCTCCTACCCCAGATCCTAGGTTCTTCCCAAGCAGATCCCCAAGCTAATCGGATGAAGTCTTTCCATTTCTCTTGTATTGACTGAAGGCGGGGTAATCTGTAAAAAGTAGCAATCTTACAAAACAAAACAAAAATTCAGCACAATCTAATTTATTCCATGAATGATTAATTAGCAGATTAAATGTCCAAGACACATGATATAGAAATGGAAGTTTAAAAAAGAAATATATATAGTATTAAAGTTTTTAATGAAATAAATTACAGTAAAATTATTTGGACCTAATAGAATAATAATGTTAAACATAATATTTTACTAAACAAAAGAAAAAAAGGGTTTCAAAAATATTCATAAAAATACCAAAAATACAATTTAATGACCAGATACAGACAGAGTGATATGTCAGACGAGGCCATAGAAATCAACAAATCCTAAATCACAACTTCAAACTCGCACAACAAATACTTACAAGTGAAATTTCTTTTGACATCCGACTTGATATCTACAACCGCAAGCTATACAATAAATCATGGTTCTTAGTAAGCGTAATTCCTTTCTCGTTATGCTCTGTGCAGTACATAGGTATATGAACCAACGCAAACAGTTCCAGGCTGCTCTCTCGAATAATTTTATTCACCTTTCGACTTTCTGAAATAATATTATTTTGAGTACAGGTTGATTTGAAATAATAATCCAACGGATTAATAATAAGCTTACGTATGAAAATATTTCAGATTCCTGAAGCTAGAACAGTCTGTGGAATAATACAAAAAATAGGCACATCGAAGATCGAAAATCGAAATAGAACAGAAAGTAAACAAATCAGACTTTCTCGACACGTTGATTTTGCCAATTCATATTTAGCGCGTAAACTATACGCAATGATAGGCAACCTTTGGTTCAGCTTTGGTTGGCTTAGTTTTCTGAATCTGAAAATAAGACCATCCGATTGGTCGATAATTTATTTTGCTCGGATTCATTTGTTTTTGCAAGAGACACACCCCCTTTGAGATTTTTGAGAACACGAAAGAAGAAAGAACGAAAGACACTGCTAAATTTTGAAAATTCTAAACAGTGCGATACATACATAATTAACAAAATTTTAATTATACATAGCTGTTAAGTGTAAACTGTAATATATAGAACTATATATAATTTACATATATATGTAACTGAGATTACATAAATGTATTTCATCACATAATATGTACATGGTACAAAACAATTCAACAACTTGTTGTTTGGTCAGTTGTGTTTCAAAATACTCTATCATTAAAATTGTTTGTAATAATTTGTGTAAATCATGCACAAATTAGTTTTACAAAATGTCTTTTAACTTAACAAACGAATTTTAAACATTTTTAATTGAATTATGTTTGCAGGGCGCTCAGAATTAAGAGATTGACCAAAGCAGTATGTTATCTTGTACTGTCTGCTTTTGTGTGTACAACCCTGCTGTTTGTGGCAAACTGGGTAGACATTTCCATAGGTATGTCGGTTATAATTTATGTAGTTTAATTATCAGAAAAAATAATTGATCTCTTAGAAAAACCCTTAATAAGTTGACTGATTGATCATGAAGAATTTGGCGCGCATTCCAGGCTACCCCAAGCGGTTGAGACACGGGAGAAATGGATTGAGTTCATTCAATCAGTGCGAGGACCTGACTGGAAACCTACCAATTTGGAAACCATCCGTGTGTGCTCAGACCATTTTGATAAAACAGATTACAGAGAGAGTTCTCCAAGGCTATTAAAACATAAGGACCTGGTACCATATTTAATTGCAGAAAAAAGAACCAAGAGGAAGATATCGGAAGATCCCGTTGATTGCCCAATTGAAAAAGTAACTTTTAATTTTTTCACAGAGTCAATATTAAAATTATTTTATATCTTTTATATTTACAGCAAAAAGCTCTTGTGAGTACAAGAGAAGTTGAAACACAGACTGATTCAGCCACAGAAGAGACGATTGATTTGGTTTCAAACGAGGGAAGGAAGACTTTACTGACAATGAGGGATTATTTTGAGGAGAAAATCAAAGGCCTTGAATGCATCACCAGGCAGCCACTGATGTTAGCTGAATTCAGAGAACTTGGCCAGCTGAAAAGGACAGTCAAAGATTTAGATGAGAGAATCAAGAAGTGGGCTCTTAGTGTGATGAGAGATGAAATTGTTGTGCCAGATGAGAGGCTGCAAGTTACTGAATTTTTGCAAGCACAGTTCCAGATTTCAAAGTCCGAAGAAAAACTAGCGAAAATTCAGGCCAAAAATAAGGAGAAAAAACTTGAGATATTGAGTGAAAGTGTTGAAGCAGTTCGGAGAGAAAATGTGGATTTGAAAGTACGCTTAGGTGAGAAGGCTCGAGCTCGCGAGGCTGACGAAAAGCTGATAGCAGAATTGAAATCCGAGATCGAAGATATGAAGTTTCAGCTTACACTAGCTAATATTCAGTCAAATGCCAAAACAGTGCAACTCAACTTGAAATTGAACGCTGCAAACAAAGAGCTTGCCAATAGACACAGGATTATTCAAATGGAGAAGAAGAAGCAAGCAGATCTGATGAGGGTCATTGAAAAGGGGGTCCTTAAAAAACCTAAAACAATGAAAAGTGGCTCTGCTGTTATACCTCAGATACCATTCAGCAAACTAGTTTTGCCCTTTAAAGCTGTTGTTCCAGATATTCCATTAGTTGATATGGTAGAGAATGAAGAAACTTTGGAAACTGTTGTCATAAATGTTGATCCTCTTAAATCAGAGGGTAATCAATAATGCTTTCTGTGACCATATTTTTCAAGGTTCTCAATGGTTCTCAGCTTATGCAAATGATGATTAAATTTCCTACTCATGAATTCAACAAATGATTTTAAATTTAAGTAAATTTTGAAATAAAAAGCACAGTTTTCCAAAAGAAAGAAATCTTTTATTGATACTTGAAATGACATCCTATTAGTTAATATTAATATGCACACCTTAAATTACGTGAGTGCTGACAAATTATGCTTCGTAATCCGGGTTTTTCCTAAGCACCACAAACCCTTCCATGATGGGACTGAGAGGTATGTATTCCTCTGTGGCCAGTTCTGCTCGTTCTCCGTGAGCCAACAATACTGGGGTTGTGTGAGTCTGGAAGCCTGTGATGGTTTTTGGCTTGCCTGCTTGACCAACCACGTCCACAGCCTAAAACGATTTGTATTAATTTACAATGGTCAACTAAGAATTAAAAGCATACCATGCCAACTCTGACTGGCACAGGCAAGGGCTGGAATTCTTCGCTCAGCGTCACAAGCATTCTTGGGGACATGGCGGCAGCCAAAGTGTAAAGGAGGTAATGAGATTTGCCCAAAATAACTAAATTACCATATTAATAAAATATAAAAATCACTCGTCATTGTATATTTACTTGTCTTGACATCAAGGAAGCTGACAAGAGTGGCCATCAAACCAGCCACAGCCACTGGATTCATCAGTTGTTGACCACTGTGATATGGAGACAGGGTGAGGGTTCCCTTGCCCAAATGAGTCAGACCCTGAGCGATGCGCACCATGAACAGATTGTTTGGGTCCTTAGCGTGATACTGTGCCAATTGACGGAGCATTGCTGCCAGTCTAAATATAGAATACAATTAAATATATGAAAAATGGTAAAAAATTATTTTTTACCTTGCGTTGTTTGTTCCAGCTCCAACCATGCCCATGGCAAAAATGGCGTTGTGGGCAACTTCAGCATCACTGTCATGTGAGAACTTGCTGAGAGTGTCGAGAATGTTGAGTTTAGGATTTGACACAGAAATAAGTCCTAGGGCAAGAGGAACAGCCCTCCTTATCACAGGCTCACAATACCGAAGCTGAAAATGAAAATTTATAACAATATACATTTCGATGGAAAGTAAAAATACAAAAAATACTTACAAGGTGGCCGAAGGTGCGGTAGGCCATTTCAGCGCCAATGTCCTCTCCCATGGAGATAAGTGCAATGCCAATCACTGCAACAGCTTGCCTGGCAGTGAGATCCTTCTCTTTGTCTTCCTTGTCATCCTTCTTATCATCCTTTTTGTCATCCTTCTTCCGGTCGTGCTTTTTTTCATCCTAATTTTAAAAACGTTTTAATTCCAATTCTTTATAGACGATTTTTTTTTTTGCTACATAGATCTTTGGTAATTTGCTTTTGATTACTCACTTTTTCAGATGTTTCATAATGTTCACTGCAAATGTGGAGCAGCTTCTGGACCTTCAGCACATTTCCAGTGCCAGCATAGGCGCAAACCTCAACCATGGTGATTGCCATCGACTTGAAGGGCTCTGATATCACTGCAAGTGACTCAATTATGACGTCGGCTTGGTCTTGGCGGCCCAAGTAGCAGAGACCCAGGCCAAGAGGAAGGAAACGGGCATAAGTTTCCTTCAAGTCGGCCTCGGAACGATCGATCAGGGTCTGGATGATGGCGTTTGTGACGATTGAGTTGGTTGAACCCACAGCAATCATGCCGCACGCCAAGCCAGTCACTCCAATGACCTCCATGTTGGCCTTTGGGTCAGAGAGCACGGGCACCAAAACCTTCAGAACTTGTTCTCGGTTGGAGCCAGCATAAGCCAATCCGAGACCTAGCAAGGAGATTAATGATATGATTTATTAAGAACTGACAAAAGTTTTTAATTCATTTTAGAAGAAAAATTTGTACCAAGAATAGAGCCCAGTCTCATAACGCTGCTTGAGTGCATCACATAGTCAGTCAGAAGTGCCAGGGCAGGGTCACACTCGCTTCGTACACCACAGTTGACCATTCCGCAGGCCAGCAGGGCCCCAGACTTGATGTAGTCTTCAGCCGAGTAGAGGTACTTGTCGATTGGAGTGAGCCCACCATCAATGTCCCACAACAGTAGCATTCCCAAAGAAGCAGTGGCGCTCATCATTCCTAAAAAATATATCGTCATAAAATTTAAAAAGAAAATCCCAGTTGAGATAAATTACCATGCTCTTTGTTCTTATAGAGCCACTTGGTGCCTCCCTCCATCAGAAGTTTATCTTGCCCGAAACCAGCGTTGACAAAGCCATTGACAAAACTGGCAGCCAAATTTTGACGGGCTGAATCAACTTGGCCACCACCAAAAGAAGTCCTCACATTCTCCAGGTGAGATTTGTAAACATCCTCAGGCACTTTGGGCTCCATGATGTCCAACTACAAACCAAAAAATTATTTATGATGAATTTAAAGATATTAATTTTATTAACCTCTCTGGCCAAATTCAAGAAGTGATGATTGAGGTGGTTGTTGGACATGATCTCGATAAGCTCTTCGCTGTCTTTGACGTCACTGTCATCAATTTCAAGACAAATTTGCTGCCTTCCGAGCATGTAAGCCAGTTGCTTTTGCATTGACCTGCAAATATTTGTTTAAAGAAGAACCTCAATTATTTAATTGTTACACGTACGGATCAGAGCACTGCAGAAAGATTGTTCTAATTTTCTCCATGTCGTTAAGCTGCATTGCAAGACGCATGGCCTGTGGCAACTGGTTGAACTTTTGGAAGAGCTTCAGGGACGTCTCCAACAGAATTGTGTTTTCTGGATCTGGGACGTAAGGAACGCAACTGAAAATTTTAAATTTCAGGAAAGTGAAATCGTCATTTTTTTTATTTAAAATTTAAAAAGTTACCTTGTGAGGTAAAGGCAGACCCTAGGGTATGCACCCTCATCCACAAACTGCTCCAGCAAACCAAGATGTTCAATTTCCATCAAAAGGTCGCACGCCTCAGCCTCTGCATTGTGGGCCATGTTGTAGGGAATGATCTGACGCACCAAGACCAACAGTCTTTCGTGCTTCTCGTCATCTGAATCAGCCCACTCGGCCGCAATCTCTCCAGACAAATGCCTAAAATCAAGCATTATTAGCCTCGCTCATATATTTTTCATCTATAACTCACCGAACATATTCATGGCCCCATTCTCCAATCTGATTCTCAGACCCAATCAGTCTGTACTTCAAGCACTCCCTGGTCTCACTCATGGTCATGGCCAAAACGGAGATGACGTCGGCACAAAACTGCTTGGTCTTCACATCTTGGATTTTCTCAAAGACTTCTTTCAGTGTGTCAAAGTGTGGTCTCAAGAACTTCAACGGTTTTGGGACACTGGTCATGGAAGTGGTTGAAGCTCTGATCAAGGTCCTCAAGCTCTCCAGAGCAGCCATGTAAAGATCAGAGTTGTTTTCCTAAAATTCATCAATTGAAATTTCGGAAAGAAACAATTTAAAAAAAATTTGCGTACCACAAGCCTTTCGACACACATGTTCAGTTCCTCCTGCAGCAAGTTGTCTTCTTCGGACTGGAATAAACAAAGTTTTGTCAGAATTATCGTTGATATTTTTTAATTTGGTACAAAAATATGCTCTGGTGCAGTCTGAAAATTTGAACATTTTCTCAAAGAATTTACCAAATCATTCTTTTCTTCTTCAACCTTCTTCCCAGGCGCCGGTGCAGCGACCTCGACCTTTTTCTTATCGGCCGGCATAATTCAGCAGAGAATCTTCGACGGCTATCAAAGATCGGTAAGCTTTTCACAACAAAACGGACTAAAGAGCCTCTATTTGTGGCAGGAATTCCAAAATCACAAAAAGTTTGAAACTGGATTTCGGTTCGCTGATGACTTGCTACTTGCTCGATTGTTGATGACGACTCTGCAAGTTTGGCCAACCTGCGTCAGTGTTGTCATCAAAATGGACCTGAGAGGGCGCCAAAATTAAAAAATGGAAAAATTCTTAAAACTTTTCATCAATTTTTTAGCATATAATTTGATTTAAATCTGTTTAAATGAGCTTCGAATCAATCTCAAAATATATGTAAATTTTTTTAACACTCACAAAGGAATACAAAACGTTAAAAATCTGAAATCGCGTTTTGCTTTTGTGACGTCACACGGGCCACCGGCCTTTTGGAGTGCATTGCTTGCATTTCTAGTTGAGGCGACGGCCGACAGAATGCGCACCGGCACTGCCGCTCCGTGACTGCAGTAAAAGCACCCATCATCTTGTGTGTGTTCAATTTGATGTTTTGCTAACTCTTCTCTTTAGGCCTGAGCGTGGAAATAATCTGCCAATTCGTCGTTCGCCGGCACCCTGAAGCCCTCGAACCTTCGCAGCCTAGGATGAGTTTGTTTCCCTGTCGGACGCAGCACTAGGTGAGCTAGGCGAAGGGCCTGAAAAGAGCTGCTTGGCTCACAAGGACCGTCTCCGCCCAACTTGGCCGAGACCCCACAGACCTCATCCTGTCCCGCTACGTCGTCCTTTCGCCTCAAACCGAAGCAATTTCTTCAATCCTTTCAAAATTCCCTTTCCGAATTAAAACCAGATTCCTCCCCAAAGGGTCAATTCGGCCCTAAAAGAGAACGTTGAGGCCCTGGGGGCGTCGCATCGTACGCAATCTGAGAATGTTGTATGACACATATTACGAGCCCATTCCCATGAAAAGTATCGTGCGAGGAAGATTATTTTCATATACAGCAATTCAATTGGAACGGATTTAGACGTGTGCGTTTTTTACACTTTTTTTTACTCCGAGCTTATTTGATCATTGATTACTTCTTCGTATTTGATCTTCTTGAAAATGACGAAGTGCGTGTTTCTGATAAGGAGTTGAAATTGAGACTTCCGATGCCTTCGTGGAGAACAAGATAGCGCAGGAATTTTTCCTCTGACTCATTTTTTTTTTTTTATTGTTCCAACCAACATTAATCGATTAGTCATTAATTTAAAATGTAAAAATTACATTTGCATGAAAATAGTTGTGTGAACAAAAAAATGTTGGAATTTTTGTATTTAGTTTTCAAGGACTGGCCAAACACGGCAGCCTTGGGCGTTTCGCAAGTCGCTTGTGTGCAATTATATATACGTGATTAGAGTTGCTTTGACGTTTTTATCAAAAAAAGTGTGGCGTCCGACGAGGCGAAAGCAGAGCACACAAGTCGGGTGTTGGGCAAAATAGGCGTTCCTGATTGTAGCTGTCAAGTGCGCAAAACGCTCTCTCACAATCATTGAGCTCATTGAAGGTTATGCAAGGTTGAGCTCCTTCCCGATTAACTTCGCTCTTAAATAGAATGAATAGATTAATAAACTAGAGGGAAAAGTATTTTCCATTGCGAATGAATTGTAAAGAGATAAAAAATTAAAGAATTTGGTCCTTATTCCGTGTTGGACTAAACGCCTTAAATTATCAGCATTCCATTCAAATTTGATTGTGATAATAAAAGTCTAAGCATGTTTTAATAGTTTGAGCAGTCAAATTGACCTCTTCGACCCATATCATCAATTTCTAAATGGAAAAAAAATAATAATAATATCAATCATAAGAAGATTTATCTCTATTTTGATCAGATAGATCTTGAAGGCTGACTAAAATTGTTATTGAATTAAAAGTTAAGAACTGAAATGTATGAAGATTTAAAATATCAAAATATTACAATCAAAATTGAAAAAAAAAAAAAAAATGTATAAAATTCTCACTTTACAATTTTTTTTTCATTTTGTTGCAAATTTAGCATAATGTTGTAGTTATTGGAGAAAAATATCAGATTTTTTAATTTATTTAGTTTTTTATCTCCCTTATTTTTTTCTGATGAAACTTTCCGTCGAGCCGGCTTGAGCTCTCTCTTTTCTTTTCTCGCGATTTTCGCCATCCCCGCTCGTCAACCCCTGGGGACGCGGTGATCAATATAAGAGCAGCGCCGGTCGGGCTGCCAATGTGCCGTTGGGACTTAAATGAGTTGTTTTTTCGGCCTTCAATCGGGCCAACGCCGAAACTTGGGCCCCGCCGAAGCTGAAAGAGAGGCGCGTGTGCCGCCTATGGCAAGCGGTTTGTAATTGAGGATTTCCTGGCGCACTCGCCGAGGGTGCTCCGCCCGCTTCTCTCCTCGCGCTATCGATCCGCCGGCTTATTTTGTATGCCACTCGCTCGCTTTCTTTGATCGCGCGCGCCCACCCGCCCGTTTTTCAGCTTCTGTTTCTCGCGATGTCTGTCCGATTTTGTCACCAACAGGGGTGTTTCTTCCCGCACTTGGTCACAAAGCGAGCAGGGATTATTTTAAATACTTCGATGCACTTGCTTAAAAATGACTCCAGAAAGTTTTGAATATAAAAATTTTAACGCATTTGAGATCTTTATAGTGAAGTTTGACTTGAAATTCAGAGACTGAGCATTTTATTCTTCATGATAAAAGTTTAAACTCGTTTTTTTCTTCTAATTTTTAAAAATTGTTTGCATGACTTCCTGATTCACAATCAGGGTTTTTTTAATCTTAATTATTTATTATTATTTATATTTAAAAGTGCGGAAGCTGGGTATTATGAGAAACAGGAAAATGCTCTCCCAAATTCAATTTAGGAATAAAATATAACAATAAAAAAACTCTGATTGTGAAAAATGAACCGACCAAAGTTATCACTTTTTTAATAATAAAAAATATAAACAAAAAAAAATTATATGGAGTATCATTTAAAATTTTGATTCAACATTAAAGTGACCAATTTCGGCAGTTTGAGAATTTGAAGTCGAATTTATAATCCCGACATTTCCATTTTGATCGAATGAAAAAGAAATTTATCCATGATGATTTAAATTTAAAGTCGTCCTTTCCTCGATGGGTTTTGCAAGTTGTTTATTGTTTAAAGAAAAACAATATCCTGCTCTACAAGTTTTGGCTGTGGGTCAATCTTTTAAAAATGATTTATCTTTCAAATTAACTCTTTTGTTCACCACTAACGATTTTAAACATAAATTTGACATTATTTGAATTAAAAAATTTTTAATTAATTTTTAATAATTTTGGTCACAATGCTGAAACGTGTGTATTGAGCGTATCTTTCTCGGCGGTGGTCGTGAAAAGACTAAAAATCATTCTTAATTTGGTTCTTCAGGTAAACCCATCAATTTTAAATTCAAATCACCATGAATAAACTCTCGATCTTGAAAATCCTACCAAAAAAGTTACACAAATTAATTGTTTCACTGGAAATTTTGCAGGTAGGCGGTGAAGATGCCTCTTCCCAAGCGGCAGGTGGAGCCGATCCACGTGGCCCGGAACACCCTGCCGGGCGACATGCCGGTGCCGAGCGAGCTGGAGGCCGTGACCAACGGCACCCTGGCCAACACCGTGCGCCAGCTTTCTAGTCTGAGCCGACACGCCGAGGACCTGTTCGGCGAGCTGCAGAAGGAGGCGGCCACGCTGGCCGCCAGGGCCACCTCGGTGCAGGCGCGCATCGACCGGCTGGCCGTCAAGGTCACCCAGTTGGACTCGGGCGGCGAGGAGGGTACGCCTGACCTTCTACCTCCTCATCATCAGCAAAAGCCCCTACGTGAGAGTCTGTGTGGTGCACGAGGTGTCCTCTCTTCAAGCACTTTATACTTTTCTCTTCTTGTGCACATTAATTTTCGTTTCTAGTCGCGCTTAACTTTTCATTTAAAGTTAATTGTTTGTTAAAAACACTTTGCTCGCCTCCTCTTGACTGCCTGACCTTTATTTTTCAAACAAGCTTTTCCTTTGTGTAGTTGGTTGTATGAAGCTTTAGATGTGCCCAGTAGCTTTAATCATGATCATGCCAATCTCATTACATTGCTTTAGGTGGTCTTCTTACATAAACAAACTGGTTGTTTGTTTAGCGCTACCTTAGTGTAGAAGTAGATTTATAATTTTCGCACATTAATTTCCGTAGTCTCTTTTGCCAAAGTAATCATTAATCATCTCACAAAAACAATGAATAAATTAATCTAATTGTTGCTTTATGTTCTATTTCCTCAGTTTCGTTGCAAGACATGCACTTGAGAAAGGCGTTCAAGAGTTCTGTCATTTTCGATCAACAAGTCGTGTCACGAGACACAATGCCCTCTGCTATGTTGGAGCAGTACATGCAGTGTGACAAACCGCCACCTCTGCAGAAACTCAACCCATACAGGTATTTATTAAACAAAATTGAAAAATTCATCAATTGTTTTAATTTTGTTCAAATTCCCAGGGAGGATGGCAAAGACGGGCTGAAGTTCTACACCGATCCAAACTACTTCTTCGACCTCTGGAGGCAAGAAATGCTTAAGGACACTGAACGCATGATGCACGATAGAGGAAAAAAGGTGAGCGCGCTGCTGGCTAACGTAAACAAACACATTTTGAATTTGTTTATTTTCTCAGCCGCACCGCCCGAGAGGGGCAGAAGGTGGCCGTCAACACAAGAAACGAGTGCGACAGCCTCACAACACGCGAGAGAGGCAGAGACAAGTTGCCATGGGACAAGGGGAATATTTGATGCCCGAAGCAAATCCTTATCGCAACTCAAAAGTAATTAAAAACATTAAAATAAAAAAAAATTACTCAAAATGCTAATTTTTTTGTAGACCGCCCTGTACGAAGAGGACATGGTTGACCAACGACCTCCTCGACCGAGCAGCATCGAGCTGAGATCCAATTATGGGGATAACTCGCAGGGCATGCACCCATCACATCATATGCTTCCACAGGAAAATGATCATTATGGGTAATAAATTGAAATTAAAATATTTTCCTTTTCGCAATTCCAAGTTTATATTTGCAGTCGCAGCCACTATCAGTCAGGGTACAACGACCACACTGCCATGTACATCCAGCAGCAGCAGCAACAGCACATCATTTATGCTAGAGGGATGAACATGCAGGATCCATACGGACATGCTATGGATCACAGAAACACTAGCAGGTCAAACTCAATTACGCAAAATGGACCTGGCACTCCAGGTCAGCGGCCATCGCAGCCGCCACCAGCTCCTCCAAGCAACAGCAATTCGGAAACAAAGTAAGTATTGGTGTTTTAGAAAATTAAGAAAAGTAAAATCTGTAGTCTGTTGTGAGACTTAAGTTTAAAATGAAAACAAATAACGCTTTTTTAAAATTTAAATTAAATTCTCATTGCATTGCTTTGAATTTTGCTTAAAATAATTTTTAATTAGTAAATTAATTTTTTTTAACAATACTTCAGCACGCCAACAACCTTGTCCGCATCTGGAACTCCAACACGCGGCCGGAGCATGAGCGCTACGCGGGACACATTGCCGCCGCCCCCGCCGCCTCCGAATGACATGATGAGTCCTCCACAGAGCAACGGCATCCCAGCGCACTTGCGCCAGCAACTTCGCTCGTCCATGTCGCCGCCACGCACAGCCTCTCCGCACCACCACATGGACCACGACTTGCCTCCGCCGCCGCCTGCCCCGGAGGAGCACAACATGCCTCCCTCGCCGCCTCCAGCACCGTCACCTCCCTCGGCTGCAGTGCCGCCGCCCCCACCGCCACCTCCTCCTGCAGGTGCCCCTGACTCTGGGCCACACCACATCATGGCAAACGGAGATGTCAGCAAATCAATTCTCAAGTCGCCACCAACGAAGGCACCATCAAAAGCACCGCCGGCGCCCAAACCAATCGATCCCCGGACTGACCTGCTCAAAGCCATCCGGGATGGTAAATCCTTAATTTTAAATTATTAATAAAACCTCTTAAAAAACTTATTCTTCCAATCTCAATTCCAAGAAACACTTCCATCCTTATCAGGATTGAGAATTTGTGCTTGAGTTTCTTCCCCCTTTTTTAAAAAACTTTGTTCACTAGCGTTGTTTTTAATGAAATTAATTTGAATATAATTTATTCCCAGGTATCACCTTGCGAAAGGTGGAGAAGAGTGAAATGAAAGAGGTTGAAAAGTCGAACGCTTTGCACGACGTGGCCTCGATTCTGGCACGACGAGTGGCAGTCGAGTTCTCAGACTCCGAGTCCGGTTCGGACTCTGAGGAATCTGATGGCTGGGAGGAGGAAGCAGGCACCGCCGCTGCCAACGCAACTTAGCTTGCAAGTGGAGATTAACAGTCAGGCTCTATATTCGAAGCTTCTTTTTCTATCTGAGTTACAAACTGAATGTAACAGTGTGTGGGCAGTGGTTGGACTCTCCGCGTGGTAACTTTGACCGTGAGAGTTTTGAGTTGAGCCTTTCAAGTGAAAAAATAATAATTAAATAAATAATATTGCATTTTTAATGGATATTTTCAAGCTTTGGAAAAGCACTGCATATTTTGCACACACATTCCTAACTTTATTAGGAAGATCATCTTCGTACGTATCTACGACTCGCATATTTTTTTTTTTTTTTGTAAAACGGAGAAAATCAAAATCGTGGATTATCGAATTATTTATTTTGATGTCTTTTATGGAAACATTCATGAATGCACTGTGCAACCCAAAAAATGGCTAGGATTAACGCCTTGCTCCAGATATTATTTTTACTCAGAACTAAATTAATCGTCTAGTGTCATGAGCAATATTAATTTAAATTGTATTAATCAAAGCTCAAAACCCAAACGTGCGCCAAACTAAACGGTTATAATATAAGTCAAAGTTACCGTAAGCAATGCGACGGACGTGACACACACAAGGACCAGGACGAGGTCAAGGGATGGGAGTTTGTTCGTGCTGGAAAGTCTTGGAACTCTTTTTATTTAATCAACATAATCCGTGAACAAGTGTTGGAGAAATATGCTTTTGCAATATTATGTATCACTATCGACAAGTCTAACTGTAAGAAATATCCCATTTGCTATCCTGATCTGAAGTAAATAAACAGTTTTTCTGCATGTTTAGTGAAAAAAAATGGAGCCTGTTTTCTTTCAGAATGGGGCCACAACACCCACTTAAAGCAATCAATTGCGGAATTTTTTCATTCCAATTGCTTTGAATTGGCGGAAGATCAAGTGATAAAAAGTGACGCTCTCTTTGGTGCGTGCAAACACGCCACTCACTTGATGACACTTGAGAGGAACCGGTGTCTGTCTTTTAATTGCCTCAAGTGACACTCGGCTGCACTTGGCACTGAGATAGTTATGAATGAGGAGTAGAGACAATGAACGTGCAGGTGATGGTCAACGCCTGCTTCCTGGTCAACTCCGCCACCTTCTGCTTTTCGCCGTTCATATTTGCCATTCCGATGCCTGGACAGACGATTGAAAACAATCCCAACTTTTCCTTTCAGTATATGGTGCCGTTATTTATGACTGCGACAACCACTTCTACAACAACACAGCGCTCAACGTTTTCTAGGCCAAACCGAAAAAAGCAAACTCAAAATAACTTTTGGGCTAAAATCAACAACAGGTAAATTAATAAATTTAAACTTACCATATTTGGAGAGAAAAAAAAATATAACTAAATAATATGTTTCAAGATTGGCAATTATGAAGCAGAATGCTTTGGTTGATGGTGAAAGATTCCGAGCTGCAGTCAGTCGAATGATGCCTAATGTGCCTATATTGTGGAGATAAATCCAGTAATATGTATAAAATAATTATAATTAGAGAACCACAAAATTGCAGCGATTGCTAATTGTAACTTGTTTAAAATTAGCATTAAGTATTTCAAATCAGTCCTCTTATTTATCTATTTGATTTGATTTTGATAATGTTATGTGATCATTTGTTCGCTGGTCTTATGTATTTTAATTTCTTTTCATAAATTTGTTAATAATCGTATATGTCTAAAAAAATTGCAAAAAAAATGAATATAAATAAATCTTTGTTAATCTAGGTGAATTTAAATTAATATGCAGACAATGTTTAAGTTATAATCAATTCCATTATTTGTGAAGTAAATAATTTATTTGTAATGTTTCATTTTTTAATAGTACAAAAAATTTTAATTAGGTTAAATTATATTTGATGGAGTAGAACATAATTATAATATAGGTAATGTATTTTTAAATAAATATCAAGCTGCTCAAAATCGTTATAGATGATATTATAAATTTTCTGCATACTCTTGGTCATAAATATTTTTGTATTCTGTGTCACAAAAAAAAAATAATGCTAAATTACATATAAATATATTTGAGGGATATTTATGTGGATCATTAAGCTGTATTAAGTAGTTAAAAGTTGCTGTATTTTTTTATATCTTGTTTTTCTTGTACACATATCACACATTAAAGGCTCAAATATGATGTCAAAATTTTTTTAAATTTTTATATAATGATTTTCCAATTCCTAAATAATAATATTTACCAAAAATACGATTTTTTTTAAAAAAAATCTCAATTTAAATCTAATTAATTTTTTCAAAAAAATCATAAACACAGGAAAATTAAGTAGTACCTCCAAAATTCAACAAATTCAATAAAATAGGTCTTTATGCGCGCCCAGCCATGGCAAAAAATAAGCTTAAAATTGATCTAATAGGTGGCACAACATTCACATACACTCTCGTCGTGACCCTGACCCCTGGAGGAGAAGCAGAGAAACTTTAACATCCACAAACAATTCTTCGCAAACTGACTTTCGCCGCCGATTTTCCTGGATTTCGGGTGAAATTTCACTAAACTTGGCATAAAAAAACTAAAGGAAATCATCCCCGGACCAAATTGTATAAAATTTTGCTTGGAAAGAGTGATGTTCTTCCGTTCTTGAGCCGATCCAAACGCCTGAACAAGCCGACCCTTGTAATGTACGTAACCCGAGTGTAAATCCCAGATAAAAATTGTTACCTAAATCTCATTTGATCTTAAAAAAAGCCATATCTGTGTGTAGAATGGGGGAGAAACTTTTGGATGAGTATTTGAACGCGGTGTACGAGGCGACCGAGAACGCCGACGGCAACGCACTCGGACAACTCGTCTCTCTGCAGAACCCACGCTGGTTCGTGCGCAACAGGGCGGCGGTGAACGAGGACGCCGTCGACTCCTACCTGTCACCACCCGTCGGCGAATTCGTGCTGGCCCACATGCACGCGGCCAACAGCATCCACGACTCGGACTGGCTGAAGGCGTTCGAGCACCAGTGCGCCATGGTCGCCGCCATCACCAAGTGGCTGCAGCTGCAGAAGGACGAGAACTGGAGTCTGCCGGTCATGCACACCGCCTGCGTCGAGCTGCGTCTCCTGGCCCTGCAGGCCGAACGGGTGCAGAAGAGGTCGCACTCCGGCGCCCAGGTCGAGTTCCTCGAGAAGGCGGCCGACTGTCTCATGGCCTGTTTCCGCATCTGTGCCTCGGACAACCGGACATCCGAGGAGGCGACCAAACGCTGGGGCATGTTGGCCCTCATCAACCAGCTCTTCAAGGTCTACTTCCGCATCAATAAGCTCAATCTGTGCAAACCCCTCATCAGAGCCATCGAGAGCTCACCTTTCAAGGAAGACTTCAGTCTTGGACAGCAGGTATATAATTAAAAATCTAATTAAAAAAGGGATTATCTTAAGATAAGCAAAAGCATTTAAAATACAAATTTTGTATCATTTTAAATATTGAATTGCAATCATTATATGATGGAATTTGTTAATATTTACTTTCTCATTTGACAATTTCATTTTTTTTTTAATAATTTCTTAAATTTTTAAAACACTACATTTTTAATATTTGAAAATTAGTGAAAATTTTTGCAGGAAAATAACTGACTTTGACTTGAAATTATATTTTATCTAAAATAACGTAATTCAATTCTATTTTGAATTTTATTATAATTATCTCCTTATATTTAAAAATAAATTAAAACTAAACAAATCTTTTCTATCTAATTTCAGGTCACATATCGTTATTACACAGGTCGTAAGGCCATGTTCGACAGTGAGTACCGATTGGCCGAGGAGTATTTGGAGTACTCGTTCCAGCACTGCCACATCCAGAGCAGGAAAAACAAACGCCGCATCCTCATCTACCTGATTCCCGTCAAGATGCTGCTGGGCTACATGCCGAAGAGGGCGCTCCTTGAGAAGTACGACCTGATGGCCTTCTGGCCCGCCGCCCAGGCCATCCGAGAGGGAAATTCCAACGGCCTGAGCCGCGCCATTGAAAAGCACGAAGCCTTTTTCATCAAGAACGGAGTCTACATTATGCTGGAGAAACTCCGAATGATTGCGTTCAGAAATCTGTTCAAGAAGGTCTACCACATTCTCAACTCGCACCAGATAGACATTGCGGCGCTCAATGTGGCTCTCAAGTTTTCGGGAGTGTCGGACGCCGACATGGATGAAACGCAGTGCTTGGTGGCAAATTTGATCAACGACAACAAGATCAAGGGCTACATTTCCCACCAGCACAACAAGCTCGTTGTCAGCAAGCAAAATCCTTTCCCTGCACTGCACACTGTGGCTTGATCAAATATAGAAATAATTTTTGTCTGAAATAAGTGGGAATAATTTAATAATCACACCCTTTATGATTTATTTATTCTTTACTAAAGAAATTTTAGTTTTTAATGTTTAGTTTATTTTTATTTTTGAGAATTTAATTGTCAACAGTAATGTGAGCAAAAATGGAGCTAAAGCGGCTCACACGTGAGGCCATGGCAAAGTACATTCAGGAGCGGAATGACTTGTCCATCACCATTTACCACCCAAAAGTGGCCCAAAAGTCTTACGGCACGGAAAAGAGGTTTTTCTGTCCGCCTCCCTGCATCTACCTGAGCGGATGGCAAAACAAGCAGCAGGAGCTCATGCGACTAGGTTACTCCGAGGAGAGTGCCGAGCTTTGTGCCTTCATCGGAATTGGCAGTACTGAGAAGGACATGCAGATCCTCGACACGGAAAACAAAGTTAGTCAATTGATCGTAATTTTCACCAAATATTGAAATATAAATTTGAATTTCAGGATTACTGTGCAGCCAAAACTCTGAGCATCTCAGACTCTGACAAGCGGAAACATTTCATGCTAACTCTGAAAATGTTCCACAAAGTCGGCTACGATATTGGAATTTTCCACAGCAAAAGAATCAAAGTCATTTCAAAACCCTCAAAGAAAAAGCAGTCAATAAAGAATCCTGATCGTGAGTTTTGCATTTCACACTTTTATGAAATTTTAATTTTTCTTTTGTCAGTCTGCGTGCCAAGTAGAAGTACAATTGCCCTTTTCAACCGACTCCGATCTCAAACTGTCAGCACAAGATATTTGCATGTGGACGAGGGCAATTTTGTTGCCAGCTCAACCAAATGGGGTGCCTTTACAATTCACCTTCGTAAGCTTAAAAAATTATTTAAAAAACATTTCTCACTAATTTTCTTCAGTTGAGGATGACGAAGTGGAGTCGGATGAATTTGTAACTTGTGATGGCTACATCCATTACAATAACACCGTGAAACTGGTTTGCAGTGAAACCGGAATGGCCCTCCCTCGGCTCGTGATAAGAAAAGTGGACAAGCAGATGGTCCTCCTGGACGCCAGCGATGCTGTTTCCCAGCTCAACAAATGTGCCTTTTATCTCAAAGATACCGAACGCATGTACCTCAGGCTTGCTCAAGATAAAATAATGCAAATTCAGGTAATTTAAATAAACCTTCAACTTCTTTTTTCAATAATTATTATATTATAACTTTCAAATTTAGTCTACACCGAGTCCCAAAGATCCAAACAAAGAAAGCATCACCGACAGTGCCTGCTGGACCATTATCAGCACAGACAAGGTGCAGTACCAGTTTTACGAAGGAATGGGACCTGTCCTCACCCCAGTGACCCCGATACCTTTGGCAACATCTCTCCACGTAATTTTATTTTAAAAATCAATTGATGAATTAACAAAAATTTAAAATTCGCAGTTAAATGGAGGAGGAGAGGCTGAAATGCTGGAGCTCACGGGTGAAAATTTCACACCAAAATTGACAGTATGGTTTGGCGATGTTGAAGCCGAAACGATGTACCGGTGCCAAGAAAGTATTTTGTGCCTTGTTCCAGACGTGTCCTCTTTCCACTCTCAAATAGCGCAGGTTATACTTTCTATATAATAATATAAACAGCCAATTAAAACTGATAAAATACAGGTTCCTATATCACTAGTACGCAACGACGGTGTCATTTATTCAACGGATCTCACATTCACCTACACAGTCGAGTCTCTCACTGCCAACAACCCAACACCCATGGACATTGCCATCAAAGATGAGTCGCAGTCGCCAACATTCCAGCAGTTCAGCTTGGGCCCAAATTACAGCTACCAAATGCACAACAACTACTGATTGATTTCTCTTCTTTAAATTATTTCTCTAGTTTCGTAATTAAAATCTTTACAAATAAGAAAAGTTAGAGAAGTTTGCTTTAAAAACCTATAGAAATTATGAAATAAATTGTGAGGTCTGACATTCACTTTAATGGTTGGTGTTTGGGGCCCTGCAAACTACTTTGGGCATGCATTCCAAAAAGCCACCCTTGACCAAACAGGTCTACTCGGAGCGAGGGCTCGTTCGTCACGGTGGGTCGGCGGTGCTTTTGGGGTGCTGTCGATATTCAGCAAGCCATTTATCACCGGGCTTCTTTAAAAGGCGCTTCAAATGAGCGCCTCTATGTAGTGTGGAGGAGAGTTGCATTTTGAAACGTGCCCGTACATATTAGCGTTGGCCGGTCCAACAATCTGCGCGTAGCTTTTGCGCCCGCCAAGAGGCCACCTTGCTCACTTGCTCTCCTCTTATCTCTTGTACACACTTCTGTGCACAGCAGGCAACCGGAGAACTACTTACTTAGCCTCTCAAGCTGTTAATCACGCAAGAGGAGTGAGCCTCTGGCTGAGTGTGTGTGCTCGCTCTCCAGTCTCTCGCACCGGGACGCTTTCTTCTTATCGTCTCCCTATTCCGTTCTCTCTCCCGCACGCTCCAACTTTGGAATTAAAAATTGACCGACCGAGAACACCCCACCGTGTCGAAATTGCTTACGCGGTATTAAACACGGAAAATGGAAAATATACCGCTCATGAAATAAACCCGCCCTTCAAAATTCATCTTTCTTATTTGTACACACAAACAAGTTTTATATTCAGCATTTTATGGATTGTATGGAAAGCAAAAAGTGTCATTTTTCCTTAATTAAAGTGACTTTACAGGTTTCAATTTTAATTGAAAAAAACTTTGGTCATGTTGGAGTAGAAGATTGTAAAAAGTTTTTTAAGCAAAAAATTTCTTAATCATCTGTAATCTTCCTCTTTCTTTAATCAAGTCTTCTTGCAAAAATTAATTAATAACACGCAATTATAAAACAATTTAAATTCACTGCTGTAAAATTTTTTATAAACGTTTAGAAATAAGTAGTATTAGACTTGATAATGTTACTTAAAAAACACAATTTCCAATAATAATATTAAGGATAATCATACAATTACTTAAAAGTTGAGTTTTTTTAGTTTTCCTTTAATTTGAAATTAATTTTTAATTAAATTAAAACTTAATAAGTGGATTGATTTTAAAATAAATCAGAGTCGACTGACTTATTGTTTACTGTGAAATATCAGCAGAACATCTCAATTAGCGGAAAAGTTGCTTAAAAGTGATTAATGCTCTCTCTTCGAATTTGCTGGATTCTGTGGATTTTGGCTTGATTAGCAGGCGCTTGGGAGGCACGCATTAGCGTAATGAGGAAGAGGCGTTTTTCGTGCTTGTCGAGCAAGAGATTTGCGACACACGACATTATTAGGCTGATCGTGATTGATGGCGATGAAGGCTTAAATTTGGCAATAAAAAAAAAACACGACGCCGCAGCAGCCGCTCATCCCCGTGCGAGGTTAACTGTGTTCGCGGCCAGAATTTATGCGCGCAGTTTTTTGTCACGCGAGAGTCACGATGAGAATCGACCATACAGCGGAGCGATCGGCCAGAACATAAAAAAGGAGAGAATAGTTGTCATTAAAACGATCGTTCCTCCGATATAATTTTAAATCCACTGGGATTGGCGCAGCCAGCAATCTGTGCGGCACGGACGACGCGCAGGTTGCATAACTACGAAGCTCCCAGGCGCTAGAAATAAATCAACCAAGCGGAGAGCTCATAAATTTTGCCGAAATCCGTCAATCCCTGGAAATCTTTTGAGAACTCGCACGGGCTGAAGAAGAAAAGGGAAAAAATTTCGCCCCGGCTCAATGAAAAGAAAAAGGGATCAAAGTCATCGGCGCTTTTTCCTTCTTGTTGCGTCTTTTTCTCTGTTGTTTTGTAATCAAAAGGCGAGAGCGGAATTAAAAAGAAAGCCGGAGCAGGGGATGATTGTACTGATTGTGGTGGGGTGCGGCATCGAAGGGTGGGTTTCGGAGGCGTGTCGGCGCTTCATCACCCTGTCTATTCAGCACCTTATTGGAGTCCTTGTGTCCGAATTAGTGGGCTATTGTGCCAAAAGTCTCGCCTGCTCTCTCCGCCGCCGCTCTCTCAAAAGCCGAAAAGGGCCGTGTTTTTTTTCTGCTGGCTGCCGGCAAAGATGACAGCCGAGGATTATTTTGAAATTTTATTAAGGCGAGTGAGCAAGAGCCGCAGCCGCAACACTTGATCAAGTTGAACAGGGGTGCGGAGGTGCCGTCGAGATTTTTCTCAGAAAAGGCGGAAAACATGTTCGATGGAGAAATTCCGTGATGGAGGCAGCACTTAAGTTGAAGTCTATTTTTGTAAAAGGTGTGATTGAAAATGTATAAAAGTTACTCTCAAAATTCCATTTTATAATAAAATCCATTTAAATAATTTTTTTGTAAGATTAAAAACTTATCATTTTGGACTTTTTCACTCCCAGTAATAAATTTTTTTTGAGATATTTGAAGCTTTTTTTCACTAATTAACTTATCCGTATACTTGCAAATTAATATTAAACAATAACTTTCAGATTAAATAGATTTTTTATCAGCTTTTTTATTAACAAATAAGCATTTTACCACACTTTGAAGTGTGTCCGCAACATATTATAATTTATAATTCACCGTGGACCTTTGTGGAGGGAAATGCGGTGAGAATGTGCAGAAGGAACAATAACATTCTTCTGAGCAAATAATTCTCTCATTTCCTCTTTGTCCATTCATCCGCGCGGAATTCTTTCTTTCGCTTTGAGAGGCAAAAAATTGGACAACGACTCTGCACGTCCGACGGTTTTTGCCGCGCGCGGTTATGATGACCTCTTTAATCTGGAAAGAAAATCAGAAAAGTAGCTGCTTGTGTCCGCCCTCTTGTGACCAGTAACGGCAAAAATATCACCTCGGCTCAGTCGGTAGTGGACTTTCGACTCAAATTTGTCCCTGGGGAGGTGCCTGAGAAAGAGAAAATGTCTGCGAAAATTCGCCCTTTCCTGCGATTTATATATAGAAACACGCGAGAGGTCGCTCTCATTTCGAATTTTCTGCGTCAATAAGCTGCCTGTGTCTTTTTGCGGACCAAGAGAAGAGCGCGCGGCCGGGCGGCATTTCTCTCAAAGAAGCTTACAGTGCCTTCACGGGCCAGTGCAGTTCGAGCGAAAAGTCTCATTTGAAAATTTAAATTGGCAGCCTTCGCTTTTGACGCACTTTAAAAACACCAGCCTCTCTGTTTTCAGAACGGCAGCGAAAATTTTAGGGTAAATGATTTTAGGGAAAAAATAATGAAAATATAAGAAAAAAGAAAGTTCGGCTAAATTTTGTTCTTGAAATAAAAACTAAACATTATGAAAACTGAAATGTTATCAATTAGGCATTAGTATTAATTTTTTTATTAGGTTATTTTCCTTGGAATTTACAATTTGAATAAAATGAAGCAAAAAGTAGAAAACTTTGATTTTTTTTAAATTTGTTTAACTATTACAAGATTGAACTATTTTAATCTCAGATTATTTGACAAAAAAAAAATAAAAAAACCAACAACACTAGAAAATTAGTGCAATTTGTCGATAATTTTTACAATTTATTTAAAATTAATAAAAAATAAGTATTAATTCACTATCACTAGGATTTCAGAACCATTTTTAAGAGACCTCATGTTGGATGAAAAATAGTAAAAAAGTCTCCCTTACAGAATCAATCTCAGCAGCCTGCATGTGCCGAGTGCAGGTAATCTGAATTCCGACCGCACACTCTCTTGCGGAAAAGCTGTCGCCAGCGGGCGGAAAAAGAGCGAGAAAAATTAACCGGGAGCAAGAGGCGGTCATAAAAGCATTTTTTCCTCAGCTTTCGCGGGGGCTTGGAAGGCCGGTCAGCGACGTCGGGCAGAGACGCTGCGGCTGATAAATCAATTTGTCGATGGGCTCCTTGCCCTGCAATCACACCACATGTTGAATAAAAAGAGCGGCGAGTGCATTAAAAGCACCGGGGGTTGAGTTATCGGCCCTCGGTGACACGGCCAGATGGAAAGCGCACCCCCCCCCCCCGCCGCCCCCAACCGCAGGTCCGCCGAGAAATGGCTCGTGAAATAAAACGCTCTCTCGGATATAAAATATCGCGGCGCGCGTGGAATATCATATTCAATTGCCTGCCCCCACCCAGCACCAAGACACACGATTTATCGTCACGTGTGTGCAGGTGAACTAATCACGAGTTGTCTCTATTTCTTACTGGATGGCGTCCCCCTTTTGCAGAGATCATAATTTTTGCCCTCTTGACAAATCTCGCTTGGGAACAATTTCCATTTTGCATGCCACTGCATTATTTACCCTGCAGAAATAATCAATGCAGCGCAACTTTCGTCAGAATGAACTTTACTTCAATCCTGAAAAGTTATCAGATTGTGCGTTCTCTGTAGAATTTATTTGCTAGTAAAGTTTGAAGGAAGCTTTGAATGGCTTCTAGGGAGACGCTATTTCTAAACACAAATTGAATTGATGCGTATTACTTTTTCCATAAAGCGTGTGATTTGCTTCTGGTTGCGCGTAATAATTTTGCTTCATATTTTAAAATAAATCTCGCCTTGGTTTAATATTTTCGATTCCAAATATTATTTCAGAACAAAAAAAAGCGACAAGCGTTAAAGTGTCTTAAGTAAAACAAACTATAATAAATAAACGGCTAAAAGTTATTTTGAAAAAAAAAACTATAGCACAACGATGAAATAAAGTTTTTAAGAAGAAATTTTTCAAATTGCTAATAAACATAATAAAAAAATATAATTAATTACGCCTGCCTTTTAAAACTGAAATATGACGTTTCTATTTTAACAATTTAAGAACTTTTTGGCATAGTCATATCTCTGAACATTGCAAGGGTGGTTGAAATTGACTTCCCTTCCGATGCAAGTACTCCTTTCAGAGTTTCAATATAGGTTGAAAAAGAGGATAAGTGAGAATCCATTCTCTCTTAAAAGCTAATTTCTTCGTTCAGATTGACATGATAGAGCAAAATTGGTCCTCCTCATCTAAAAAATCATTCCGTTTTAAGCGGACAACTAAAAATAAATAATCAAAATAGAAAATCTATAGTTATCTGCTTCTGAAAATTTTGGGGGCCAATAGAGCATCACACCAGCGACTGTTTCTATAATAGACGTTTATTTTACAATTCAATTTGAGCTGCAAATTTCAGCCACTAATTGTAAGTGAAGCATTTATGTATTTGAATTGCTTTCGAAGAAGCTCGGCTGGCCTTGAATTTTTCAAAAGTGGTATAAAAGAGGCAGTCTTATCCTTTTATCAAAATATATTTTGCGCTCAATTTTACTATATCACTAATAATTTTTTATTAAATTCAAACGAAACAATATCAATTATTTATCAATAGGAAAAGTTCTTCATTTAAAAAGTCTAATAAAATCTCGCTATCGAGTTTTCATTACTTGGGAAAAATATCAGAATATTATAATAAAAGTTGCAGGAAAATGAAAAATCTCCACTTCCCCCCGCGAGCAAACAAAGCAAAAACCTTTGGCCGATGGGCAATTTCGCAATTTATTGGCTTTGATTGCGTCGGAATTATTCCGGCGTGCGATCCGAGCGAACGCCGGCATGGTGAATAAATTTTTGCACACAATATTATTTGACGAGCGAGTTTGCCGACGACCGCGCCGCGCCGACATAAAGGGAGAATTTGCAATGCTGCGCTCTTTATGTCGGAATGTTAAGTGCTGGCAGGCAGAGGTTTACCTTTGATACTCGTGCCTCGCATACTTGACAACATCCACGCCGGATTCCACCTTCAGCCAAAAAGCGGCCGCATAATCTCGCGCGCGGCGAAAAATGCGCTCGCTCGCATCTTGAGACGCGCGCGCGCGCATCCAAAGGCGAAACTTTCGCCCGAGGGGCCGCAAATAATTTTATGGTAAATTCAAAGAGCCCGCCGAGAATATTGGTTTTGGTGCAGCTGCGGCCGATTTGAAGAACACACGATTTCCAAAAGCATTCCTCCGTCTTCAAAGCAGCGTGCTTCACTGACCGCTAATTTGCACGGCTTTTTAAAATTAAGCATTCAAGCACATAGAAATTTTCAATTCCGTTTATAAATTTGTCAGTTATTTAAAACGAAAATATTGAAATCTATTGCCAAATTTGGAATAATCAATACAAAACTCCAACAAAAAGTCTAATACCGTTCAATTGAATCACCCCTTGTTTGACAGAATATGTTTAAGATTGTTTAAAATGAAGTGTTGATTTTGCTTTATTTTTGTGATTTTATATTAATTTAGAAGTTCAGTCTTTCAGTTGAATGTGAATAAGTGGAAATTTGATTTGTTTTTATTTTGTGAAATTTGGTGAATCATTTCTTTGTATAATATATTTTCATTCTATTAATTAAAAAGATAATTATTATTGATTTGAATTTAAAGTCGGAAAAAAAGATAGTTATGTACAATTATTTGACATGTTGACAGATGATATTAACATCCACATATTTTAAAATCTTCCGTTATATTTAATTTTTCTTGTTAATCTATCTTACGTATTTCTGTGATTTTGAAATCTAATTTGATCCACAAATTAATCAACAAGATTTAAATGATTTTTTTGACATTCAATGCACCATTTATTACCCCTAATTACTTTACAAAAAATGTAGCGACTGAATGTTTTTGTCAAAACATTGACTTTAATCAGAGTCATATTTTTTTAGAAATGTTTTAAGTCCCAGGATTTTGCTTGTGAGAGGTGGTGAAAGCAGATTAACGTGCGAAAATGATGAAAAATTGAAAAATCAGTATTTTCTGCTTGCCCAGTCACACACTGGAATGTCCGCAGCCACCATTCCTGATAATTTACAGATTTTTTTGCAGCCAGCCGCAGTGGAAAATTATCGTGACAGCTGCTGTGATTAAAAACGGATGCTACATTGATCAATATTTGATGAATTCCACCCACCAGCGCAGCATGCTAAAATCCTCTCTGCCTGCGTTACAAATGCCACCCGCCGCGGAGAGCGAAGAGAGAGAGAGAGCAAGCGGGCGGACGAGCGAGCGAGCGAACGGGTGCGAGTCCTTGTTACAAAATCTCTCTCACTCTGCCGCCGCCGCTTTTTCTCGTGCGCCGCGGCTGATAGTAGTTACATCGGTGGATTTTATCCACCTGTCATGAATCACAGCGCGTAAATTAATTTCACCAATATTCTTTAATCTTTTATTATTCGGCAGCAGTTATTGGCAGGCAGAAGCGCACCGTAATCCTGCCAATCTCTCACTCGCTCCCTCCACCTCCAGTCTGTTGTTTTAGCTAAAATATTCAATAATAAATTTTTTTCTGTTGATTGGGATATGATTTAAAATTTTCTCTTGGTTTGGTAAAAAATAATATCAAATTTCAGAATTTTCAAATAAATAAATTTTTACACGAAAATAATTTCTAATGAAAAAATAAAAATATGTTTTGTGCTTCGAATTCTCCAATTTCAACATTTTATAAAGACATTAGTATAGAAGAAACAGATATATAATGATTTTTTTTATATCTATATGATAAATTTCAATATATATAGGGAATAACAATATTTCTTTCATTTCACGGCATCAGGCATGATTATCAAAATATTTGTAAGAATTTTCTAATTTATATACATTAATAAACCTAAAGCAGCTGAGTGATTTTAAAGAAAATATTGAATTTCAGTGGGATTTTAATGTCTACTTTCAAAAGTAAAATGCTAAAAATTCCTTGAAATATATATGTATGGAAAAGATCTTGAATTGTTCGGAAGTCAAAAGAATGTTCCAATTTAATTTCACAAACTTGTTAACTTTATCAAGGAAGCATAAAATGATCTAATAAAAAAAACTTGCCATTTTATAAGAAATTTTAATTTCCATTTAGAGGAATCAAATTCCCCAGCTTCCAATTACATTTGATGTTAATTTATATACAACTTTGGATTTAAATAATTTGACTAAATAAAAATGTGAGCATTTTTCACTTTTGTGGAAATCAACCTAAGGTATTGAAATTGCATTTATACAATTTTAACATTTTTCCCAATTTCAATTACAGAACAAAAGATTTTTACTTTACCTAGACCTTTGTGGCTTCTCAAACACGGATGGACTCTCAACATACCATCCTTGCTGTGGCAACTGCATGCAAAAGGCAGTTGACGAACTGACTGAACATGAAGTCTTTGCCACAAGTGATCCTCGTGAAGAAGTGACACCAAACTGGAACTTGATCCAGTTCCAAATCTCGCCCTGTTTTGAAATCAATTAAGTAAATTTTTACTTTAGAAATAAATCTCACAGTCGAAACTTGTCTGGCACATGACATCTTCAGGCTTGCTGGCGTAAACAGGCAGCCATGGAGTGTTGAGGGCGAGGACCTCAGGCTGCATGGCGTAGTTGAGACATCCAATGAAGAGGGGGTGCAAGATGTCTTTACTCAGCAGCAGATTTGCCTGAACTCGTGACGGAACTTTGTCCACCAGCAAAAGGAAGCATCGGGTCATGCTATAGATTTTAGAAAAGTTAATTTCAAAAGCAAATACGATTACGACGATTCTTACAAGAACAAAAAGTGCTTGTCATGCTTGTTGAGAATGGCTTTGGTGTCTCCAAGTCGAGCAAAGTCTTTTGAAATTTCAATGAGTGAAGATTCAGGGTCCATTTTCAGAATCCTTTTGACGGTGCTGAAATGAAATTGGAATTGAATTCAAATTAGTTTCAATTTTTTTTTTTCTTCAAGAATTACATTTTCAGGCCTGTGTATCGAATTTTGGAGACAGAAAGCTTTTCTCTGCGGAAATATTTCAATGCTGGGTGCCAGTAAGGATCAAAATCCATGTGAGGGCTGGACACAATCTCTCGAATGCTCTTTTTTCTCTCGGGTAGTCCAGACCAGTTGCTGCAGTCTTCACTCTTTGGCTTGAGATTTTGATCAAAACCGTTTTCTACATCAACTGAAATTATGAAAGATGATGATTAACCAAAAGAAGGAAAAAAGGAGGAAAGAAAGTTCTATTCTCCAAACCTGCAAGAGGTAAACGATGAAATCTGAAGAATTCTTCCATGTCTTTGAGAAAAACGCTCTTAAATGTGGCGACAAAAATGCGAAATAAATTCTCCGCACTTTCCGAATCAATCAAGTTTTCTGATTAGGTGGAAAAATTAATGAAGCTACCGCTGTTTATCTAGCGACTTTCTGTATCATTCAAAATGGCCAAATTGACAATCAAACGAAATCTGATGAATCTGATCATCTGTTTCAAGAGGGGGTGGGGGACTCTCGGCATGAGGGGAAGAAAAACTGCAGGTTGGAGAAGAACAAAAATGAAACAGAAAAGGTGCTGCCTGGCTATCTGTCTGCAATGCAATGATTTGCGCCGCGTTTCATGTCGGAAATAATCCATCTGCCTTTAGGTACTCCTCAGTCAGGTTGGATTATAGTATTTTCACTTTTTATAATTAAATTTTTTTTTTTTTATAAAAATCAGAGGGTAACACTGATATTTTTTAAGTATTTGAACAGTCAGTTTCAAATAATAATAATACATTTTACGTATTATTTAAGAAAATAATTTTCAAGAGAAACTTCTTATTTATTTTTCAGGATAATAAGTTCACCAAGTTTCTATCAATCCTCTTCTACTGATTTGTCGACCTGTCAATGGGACGGAGGGTATATTACTCGGTGATAGGTTCGCCCTAGTCATAGATTTTTTTATTAATTGTTCTGTTCTGATCCTTTAATCTTAAAAATAATTTTTTAATTATGCCCTTTTATTTCCTTCAATAGTTTGTTTCATATTTTTAAATAATTATTGATGTTTTTTTAAATTCAAAATACTAACATCTTCATGATTAATATAAAATTAAATTCTATTTGCAGAAGTTATAAGAGATTTTAATAATTTAATTTCTTTCAATTCACTGTATGTTTTAATTGAATAATGAATGCATATTATAACTTACAATAAGCCCACTTTTTTTAAAATTCCAGTCCCATGTGAATATCAAGATCGTTATCTTTCAAATAAAATCTCAAGTGTCTCGTTCAAAATACGACCAAAATTTAACTGGAATTCAATAAAAGCGCTAAAATTAAAGTTTGGTCTGCCGATGAAAATGGAGAAATCACGTAGAACGAGAACGACTCTCTCACTGCGTCGAACGTTTTTCTTGCGTCTGCAAATCCGATATTATATTGGGGCTGCGAAGGAAGAAGGAAGGAAGAGTTGGTTCACAGAGTGCGTGTGTATGTGCTGCGTGGTTGCATACCTAGTCGAGGATCGCGTTCGAAATGCCTACTTAATTGATTTAGAGGCGGCCGCGAATTCACTTCACGTAGGAAGGCGCGACACGGTTATTATTGCGCGCCGCTAAGAGAGTCAATCCATAAAGCAATAAAAGCAGCGCAGCCTTTCTACGGCTATTGCTAAACTTTGTGCTAAGCCCGGCAAAGTGATAAGAGAAGAAGTGAGGGAAATCAGCTCGGCCGAACGCGCGCCGAATAATAAAGAGGAATTTTTCTGCTCACAAAATCCATTCTTTATGATGTGGCGGCGGTTCTCTCTTGTGCAAAATCGTACCTATATATCCTGACCAATTGCAGTAAAACTCGCCACAAAGCGCCCTTCCACTTTGGATGATCCCTCAAGTGTAAAAATTGAATTTGCCGCTCGCACACGCCGTGTGCAATAAAAATGAATTCGGCCCTTTTTTCACTCGGCGCGATCAAGAAATAGCGAACATAGCGACTTTAATATGTATCGGCGCCGCGCGTGAGACTGACAGGGTGATATTTTTTGCACGAAAGATGCCGAAAGATTGAAGAGATCCGAGGAGCAAAATATGAACCCGATATATTCAAATTTATATATATTTCTTAAACGCGCCTTCCTCGGAATATAGAAAACGCCGTCGCGTCCGGATATCTGCGCGCCGCAAATTGATATGCACATCATCCGCCACACAGTTCTGAGCCCGGATTTGCAGTCTTCGATCCTTGAGAGAAATTGTCTCGCGACTGTCAACACGCTCGAGTGAGACGCTCATGCCAAAGCCACTTTGATGCACTTTCAGATTCTGACAGATCGAAGTGCACAAAATCAATGAAATTGTTCACTATATAATAATGTTGCAATTTCCCAAAAGATTATTTGAACTCGTGATTGCTTGCTTACTATTTAATCTGAAATTTGAGTTCCATTCCAAGGTCAGGATTAAATTTTCATACCATTGGCTAAAAATCTTAAAAAAATTTCCAACGAGAAAAAGTAAAATTGAGACTTTGATCATCCCGCAGGCAAATTTTTTTTGACAACTGCAAGCTTACAAAAGAAATTGTAGAGAATTTAATTAACTATTTAATTAACTAATTAACTAACTAAATTTTAGTAGGTTTGAAAAATAAAATAACAAAATTCTCGCGGAAAAGAAAACAACTTCTGCTCTAGATATATTTTTTCTAAGAATAATTAGAAAAAGTTACAAATTTTGAAATTTAATAAGCTATTCGGATCAGTATTATAAATTGAAATTTTTATTCTACGCTAACTGATAAAAAATTAATTTTCGCAATTCAATGAACCAAGCTGTTCCCCACCTTATTTTTTTTTTTTTTTGTTTTAGGATCTGGTCAAGACAAAGAGTCTTATTGGCCTGATGGCCTGTGCCCTTTTTAGGCTTGCGGAAGGCAAGCTCCAATCTTATAATTATTAGGGTATTTGTTATTTTATTTTATTTGCTATTTTTGTAATATTTTATCTTTATAGTCATCAATAAAATTATTCATCATTGCAGTCAAGCAGGAGAGAGCAGAGCAAAGCGACGTGCAGAGGAGGGTTCATAGCGCAACAACGGCTGCTCAGATCGAAAAATAAATTATTACACCGCTATTTTCCTCATTCCTTCAATGTTCCAGATACTTTTTTATCGCAAAAATTTTAAATCAGAGCTATAAAAAGTATTGATTAATTACGTCGTGACAACTTTGTCGGATTGCTAAACACGTTCCCGCTTTTCCCCTACAAAATAATCGGACACGCCCACCCCATTATGATTAGTAATGTTTTTCTTTGTTGACAAAGTGCATCGTGTCCCGCCGGGGATCAAGATTGAGCCCAAATTCGGCCCGAAAAAGGCGAAAATCGGCTGAAGTGCAGCGTGAGAAGAAGCGCCGGCGGAAAAGTAAGTTCTCACTTTACAAATTGACCTTTTGAATTGAATTTTTACTGTCCTGGGAAGGAATTCGTTTCTTTGGGATTTGTTTAGAATGTTGAAAAATTATGAATTTACGTACTACAATAAATGGGGTGCTCTTTTAATTAATTTTCATTTTCTATGATTTATATAACGAGCAATATATTTACACTTTGGAATTCTCTGGGAAATCAGGACCCCTTCTCAAAACCTGTCTCGCTCAAAAAGCAAGTCGGAAAACCGTTCTCCTGCCGACGTTTATATTTGGATATTTTTTTATTATTTATATTCAAGATAGAGACAAATGCGCTACTTAATGGATTCACACTTCGAACGCACGACGGGTGTCACAACCAAGCAAACAAAATCAGGCAGATTTTCTTTTTATTCGACGCTTGTCATATTTTCCACCTGACAATACCGCGCGCGCATTTATCGCTGGAAAAGACGAGCGGTGGCGGAGAGAGAGCTAAACTGAAAATGAGGAATGACATTTCCCTAAGTGGAGTAGAAGAAGAAGTGAAATGCCTCTACGGATAGATAGGCAGTTGAAAAATTGCTGATTTTGTTGAGAGATAGAGACTTATAGAAACGGATAAACGTAAAACACCCTAAAGACGATTAAAATAGAGGATAAAAAAAAAACACTAATATTTTTTTATAGAAAATTGTTGTTTAATGGAAGTCAATTTATTTTTATCTCATTTTTTTATTTAGTGAAGGCGAGAATCTTATAAGCCCTTGCGTATTTATTGTACTTGCAGGTTTACAATGTAGGGCTGAGCGTTTTAGTCTATTTTTAAGGTCAAAATAGTCGACTTTTTTAGTCGATTTTAGTCGTTTTTCGAGCAAAAATAGTCTGTTTTAGACGATTTTGAAAATTTAATAATTAAGGCAAGAAGGTAAAATTTTTTTTTCAAAAAAATTTGGCTAGAAATGATCCAAATGGTCTGTCCGAAATAATTAGATGGTTGCTAAAAAACATTTTTTTTTTCAGTCAAGACCGTCACAAGGGTGGGCAAGGGTTCCAGGGGTGTGGGGTTAAAAAAAAAGGTTTCAAAAAGTTAGCTAGAAATGATCCAAATGGTCTGTCCGAAATTTTAAGATGGTTGCTAAAAAACATTTTTTTTTCAGTCAAAAGCAAGATGAGATCTCAATATTTCAATACTACCATGTTTGGTGCTAAATACGAGCGTTGCAAAAGACTCTGCAATTGTGCCGTATAATTAAGAGTTAAGGCTGCTCTTTCACACTATTTTAAAGCTTATTTTCTAGATTTTGAATCAGTACGAGCTATACTTTGACTGCGATCACCCTCAATATTTCAATAATACCATGTTTGGTGCTAAATACGAGCGTTGCAAAAGACTCTGCAATTGTGCCGTAAAATTAAGAGTTTAAGGCTCCTCTTTCACAGTATTTTAAAGCCTTTTTCTAGATTTTGAATCAGTACGAGCTATACTTTGACTGAGATCTAAATATTTCAATAATACCATGTTTGGTGCTAAATACGAGCATTGTAAAAGACTTTGCAATTGTGCCGTAAAATTAAGAGTTAAGGCTGCACTTTCACACTATTTTAAAGCTTTTTTTCTAGATTTTGAATCAGTACGAGCTATACTTTGACTGCGATCTCAATATTTCAATAATACCATGTTTGGTGCTAAATACGAGCGTTGCAAAAGACTCTGCAATTGTGCCGTAAAATTAAGAGTTAAGGCTGCACTTTCACACTATTTTAAAGCTTTTTTTCTACATTTTGAATCAGTACGAGCTATACTTTGACTGCGATCTCAATATTTCAATAATACCATGTTTGGTGCTAAATACGAGCGTTGCAAAAGACTCTGCAATTGTGCCGTAAAATTAAGAGTTAAGGCTGCTCTTTCACACTATTTTAAAGTTTTTTTTCTAGATTTTGAATCAGTACGAGCTATACTTTGACTGCGATCTCAATATTTCAATAATACCATGTTTGGTGCTAAATACGAGCGTTGCAAAAGACTCTGCAATTGTGCCGTAAAATTAAGAGTTAAGGCTGCTCTTTCACACTATTTTAAAGCTTTTTTTCTAGATTTTGAACAGTACGAGCTATACTTTGACTGCGATCTCAATATTTCAATAATACCATGTTTGGTGCTAACTTATACGAGCGTTGCAAAAGACTCTGCAATTGTGCCGTAAAATTAAGAGTTAAGGCTGCACTTTCACACTATTTTAAAGCTTTTTTTCTAGATTTTGAATCAGTACGAGCTATACTTTGACTGCGATCTCAATATTTCAATAATACCATGTTTGGTGCTAAATACGAGCGTTGCAAAAGACTCTGCAATTGTGCCGTAAAATTAAGAGTTAAGGCTGCTCTTTCACACTATTTTAAAGCTTTTTTTCTAGACTTTGAATCAGTACGAGCTATACTTTGACTGCGATCTCAATATATCAATAATACCATGTTTTGTGCTAAATACGAGCGTTGCAAAAGACTCTGCAATTGTGCCGTAAAATTAAGAGTTAAGGCTGCACTTTCACACTATTTTAAAGCTTTTTTTCTAGATTTTGAATCAGTACGAGCTATGCTTTGACTGCGATCTCAATATTTCAATAATACCATGTTTGGTGCTAAATACGAGCGTTGCAAAAGACTCTGCAATTGTGCAGTAAAATTTAGAGTTAAGGCTGCTCTTTCACACTATTTTAAAGCTTTTTTTCTAGATTTTGAATCAGTACGAGCTATACTTTGACTGCGATCTCAATATTTCAATAATACCATTTTTGGTGCTAAATACGAGCGTTGCAAAAGACTCTGCAATTGTGCCGTAAAATTAAGAGTTAAGGCTCCTCTTTCACAGTATTTTAAAGCTTTTTTTCTAGATTTTGAATCAGTACGAGCTATACTTTGACTGCGATCTCAATATTTCATTAATACCATGTTTGGTGCTAAATACGAGCGTTGCAAAAGACTCTGCAATTGTGCCGTAAAATTAAGAGTTAAGGCTGCTCTTTCACACTATTTTAAAGCTTTTGCTCTAGATTTTGAAGCAGTACGAGCTATACTTTGACTGCGATCTCAATATTTCAATAATACCATGTTTGCTGCTAAATACGAGCGTTGCAAAAGACTCTGCAATTGTGCCGTAAAATTAAGAGTTAAGGCTGCTCTTTCACACTATTTTAAAGCTTTTTTTCTAGATTTTGAATCAGTACGAGCTATACTTTGACTGCGATCTCAATATTTCAATAATACCATGTTTGGTGCTAAGTACGAGCGTTGCAAAAGACTCTGCAATTGTGCCGTAAAATTAAGAGTTAAGGCTGCACTTTCACACTATTTTAAAGCTTTTTTTCTAGATTTTGAATCAGTACGAGCTATACTTTGACTGCGATCTCAATATTTCAATAATACCATGTTTGGTGCTAAGTACGAGCGTTGCAAAAGACTCTGCAATTGTGCCGTAAAATTAAGAGTTAAGGCTGCTCTTTCACACTATTTTAAAGCTTTTTTTCTAGATTTTGAATCAGTACGAGCTATACTTTGACTGCGATCTCAATATTTCAATAATACCATGTTTGCTGCTAAATACGAGCGTTGCAAAAGACTCTGCAATTGTGCCGTAAAATTAAGAGTTAAGGCTGCTCTTTCACACTATTTTAAAGCTTTTTTTCTAGATTTTGAATCAGTACGAGCTATACTTTGACTGCGATCTCAATATTTCAATAATACCATGTTTGGTGCTAAGTACGAGCGTTGCAAAAGACTCTGCAATTGTGCCGTAAAATTAAGAGTTAAGGCTGCACTTTCACACTATTTTAAAGCTTTTTTTCTAGATTTTGAATCAGTACGAGCTATACTTTGACTGCGATCTCAATATTTCAATAATACCATGTTTGGTGCTAAATACGAGCGTTGCAAAAGACTCTGCAATTGTGCCGTAAAATTAAGAGTTAAGGCTGCTCTTTCACACTATTTTAAAGCTTTTTTTCTAGATTTTGAATCATTACGAGCTATACTTTGACTGCGATCTCAATATTTCAATAATACCATGTTTGCTGCTAAATACGAGCGTTGCAAAAGACTCTGCAATTGTGCCGTAAAATTAAGAGTTAAGGCTGCTCTTTCACACTATTTTAAAGCTTTTTTTCTAGATTTTGAATCAGTACGAGCTATACTTTGACTGCGATCTCAATATTTCAATAATACCATGTTTGGTGCTAAGTACGAGCGTTGCAAAAGACTCTGCAATTGTGCCGTAAAATTAAGAGTTAAGGCTGCACTTTCACACTATTTTAAAGCTTTTTTTCTAGATTTTGAAGCAGTACGAGCTATGCTTTGACTGCGATCTCAATATTTCAATAATACCATGTTTGGTGCTAAATACGAGCGTTGCAAAAGACTCTGCAATTGTGCCGTAAAATTAAGAGTTAAGGCTGCACTTTCACACTATTTTAAAGCTTTTTTTCTAGATTTTGAATCAGTACGAGCTATACTTTGACTGCGATCTCTATATTTCAATAATACCATGTTTGGTGCTAAATACGAGCGTTGCAAAAGACTCTGCAATTGTGCCGTAAAATTCAGAGTTAAGGCTGCTCTTTCACACTATTTTAAAGCTTTTTTTCTAGATTTTGAAGCAGTACGAGCTATACTTTGACTGCGATCTCAATATTTCAATAATACCATGTTTGGTGCTAAATACGAGCGTTGCAAAAGACTCTGCAATTGTGCCGTATAATTAAGAGTTAAGGCTGCTCTTTCACACTATTTTAAAGCTTTTTTTCTAGATTTTGAATCAGTACGAGCTATACTTTGACTGCGATCTCAATATTTCATTAATACCATGTTTGGTGCTAAATACGAGCGTTGCAAAAGACTCTGCAATTGTGCCGTAAAATTAAGAGTTAAGGCTGCACTTTAACACTATTTTAAAGCTTTTTTTCTAGATTTTGAATCAGTACGAGCTATACTTTGACTGCGATCTCAATATTTCAAT